TTTGGATGGCGTGTACAGTGGAAACAGGTTAGTGTGGATACTGTTTGTATATACAGTAGAACCGTGTTCACATGGACACTTTTCTTTCTGTTTACAGTGAACATTAATTGTTAGTCTGGACACTTTGGTTTGTGTACAGTAGGGCCTTGTTAGTCTGGACACTTTGGTTTGTGTACAGTAGGGCCTTGTTAGTGTGGATACTTTGGTTTGTGTACAGTAGAACCTTGTTAGTCTGGACACTTTGGTTTGTGTACAGTAGGGCCTTGTTAGTCTGGACACTTTGGTTTGTGTACAGTAGGGCCTTGTTAGTCTGGACACTTTGGTTTGTGTACAGTAGGGCCTTGTTAGTCTGGACACTTTGGTTTGAGTGTACATTAGAACCTTGTTAGTCTGGACACTTTGGTTTGTGTGTACAGTAGAACCTTGTTAGTCTGGACACTTTGGTTTGTGTGTACAGTAGAACCTTGTTAGTCTGGACACTTTGGTTTGTGTACAGTAGGGCCATGTTAGTCTGGACACTTTGGTTTGTGTACAGTAGGGCCTTGTTAGTCTGGACACTTTGGTTTGAGTGTACATTAGAACCTTGTTAGTCTGGACACTTTGGTTTGTGTGTACAGTAGAACCTTGTTAGTCTGGACACTTTGGTTTGTGTGTACAGTAGAACCTTGTTAGTGTGGATACTTTGGTTTGTGTGTACAGTTGAACCTTGTTAGTCTGGACACTTTGGTTTGTGTGTACAGTAGAACCTTGTTAGTCTGGACACTTTGGTTTGTGTGTACAGTAGAACCATGTTAGTCTGGACACTTTGGTTTGTGTACAGTAGGGCCTTGTTAGTCTGGACACTTTGGTTTGTGTACAGTAGGGCCTTGTTAGTCTGGACACTTTGGTTTGAGTGTACATTAGAACCTTGTTAGTCTGGACACTTTGGTTTGTGTGTACAGTAGAACCTTGTTAGTCTGGTCACTTTGGTTTGTGTGTACAGTAGAACCTTGTTAGTGTGGACACTTTGGTTTGTGTACAGTAGATCCTTGTTAGTGTGGACACTTTGGTTTGTGTACAGTAGGGCCTTGTTAGTCTGGACACTTTGGTTTGTGTACAGTAGGGCCTTGTTAGTCTGGACACTTTGGTTTGTGTACAGTAGGGCCTTGTTAGTCTGGACACTTTGGTTTGAGTGTACATTAGAACCTTGTTAGTCTGGACACTTTGGTTTGTGTGTACAGTAGAACCTTGTTAGTGTGGATACTTTGGTTTGTGTACAGTAGAACCTTGTTAGTGTGGATACTTTGGTTTGTGTGTACAGTAGATCCTTGTTAGTGTGGACACTTTGGTTTGTGTGTACAGTAGAACCTTGTTAGTGTGGATACTTTGGTTTGTGTACAGTAGAACCTTGTTAGTGTGGACACTTTGGTTTGTGTGTACACAGTGATAGAATCCTGTTAGTCTGACCACTTTGTGTGTTCACTAAAACCTTGATAGTCTTAATTAGTTTGTTTAGTGTGAACAGTAGACCGTCATCAGACACACAGACATAAGCCTTAAGCATTGTTGACATGGACATCTTGAATTGTGCGTTTGAGTTGACTGAACCTTGATTGCCAGGTCCCTTTTTTCTTTTGAATAAATAATGGCCAGAATTGTTTCTAAGATTAATGAACTGATAATTAATTACCAGTCGTGTTATGAGAAAAGTGGAAATCTTTATGTGCAGAAAGTAACATGCTTTTGCCCTTTAACAGAATATAAAATTATACGTCAAATTTTCACGTGTATATACTTACTTGAATCAAAAACGTAAACGTTTCCACGTTTCAAAATGTCATCTTGTACAATTTTATCAAACTAAACTGTTGAACAGCTGGTCACCATGACACAGCATACAACCCCTTAAACAATTCATCTTTCTCGAGTATCTTTTTTATCATTATTACATGGAAGTATCCGGGTATGATATCGCATGTATAACCAGAATTATATCTTACAATTTAGAGCTAAGAAGTATGATAATACACAGAAAAGTCAAGCTTCGACATTAACTGAAGCATGAGATTAGCTCTTCATGTTGAGTCGTGTTATTAATGAAGATCAACTATGACGACGATTCACGTGACGGTATGAAGAGACTTCTCACGTAAAGTAGCTAATCCCCTTCCTCCTTCCTCTTTTTCTTCTATTTTCTTGTAGGTTTTACATATATTGGAAAAAAGATGACAGTAGAGTGATTGATATTTCACAATTGGTTTTGGCGGTATAAAACATGCCGTCGAAGTCAGAATTAGCAATTTAGACTTCTTAATAAATGAAAGTGTTACATGATTACAGACTGTTATATTGGTGTTCACATCAATCTGAAGTTTTTGATAAATTCATTGGAAACTTATTCAAGATCCTCAGTCTATTGATGATTATACCGTTTGACAAGAGGACTCGGCAATTGTCAGATAAAGTATATCTACTGCTACTAATATCATCCATCATACACAAACATCTATTAAATAGTGACATCATACAGTTACTCTGGTTACATAATCTCTGTATAAGGTTTATACATATAAAAATAATTTGAAAAAACAATGCAGGTTTTGGAATTCTAATGGGAAATGCAGATTACGAGATCATGCTTGCAAACAATTTTGGGGGGAAAATGGTTATGGAAACATGAATACAGTCGAACCTCATTTTCTCAAAGTCGGTGGGACCATGGGAAAACTCCCAGCTATCTGAGTATTTGATTTATTTGAGTTCAAATGTTTAGTGTGAAATTTGGCAGGAATCCATGAAATAGTTCTAATTCTAATTTTAAGTTCGAGATAACAAGGTTCGACTGTACTTTTATAACAAGCTTATTTAAATAACATTAAAACAGTACATATCTTACATACAAATTCCACAAGCACAAAGCAAAATAATTTATTCACATGAAAATGTCCTCAGAAGCATGGTCCCTAATAGAAGGGTGTGGTTGCTGTCACATGGGTGTGGTCTTTGTCGTTGGGGTTGTGATTACAGTTACTATCAGAGGAGTGAGGACTTTCATGCCGTATAGGGCCATCAAAGGGGCGTAGTCACTTTCAAACTGCTGTAGTAACTGTCAAAGGTGTGATGTCTCTATCATGTGGGACGTGGGCTTTGTCATTGATATAACAAATACTATATGGGAATGACTTTCAATGAGAACAGGTCCATCACAGAGGCATAGTCACTTTCAATATGGGCCTGGTTACTATCACAGGAGAGAAGATTTTGTCATAAGGGACATGGTCTTTGAATGGAATGAGAAGAGAATACTTAATTAGAACAAATATTTTGACGGGTATTGTATTTTCTAAAATCCATCAGATTTCATCAACTGAAACTTTATACACAGGATGCTAATCACCTACCATGGAAAAATCTGCTTTCTGACATTAAAAAATGCTAAAATCTAGATTTCTTGAAGACAAGTACCATTAGATCTCTTTCATAAGAAAATTTGTTACTGATTTTTTATTTAAACCCCAGGTGACACAGTAACTAACAAAAGTTAGGCGACCTTTCTTGGTATAAAATAAAAGTTGCCAATCACCAACCTACAAACAAATCAAGACTGTATCGTTTTCATTTCAACACAATATGAACTTTTTCTCGTTCTTATGAAGGAATATTATTCTCTTCCCTACATCTACAAAACCCTTTAAGTAGTGAGGATAGTTACTGTCAGAGGAGTGAGGACTTCATCACTGAGTAAAAGGGTTGTTGTCACTATCCTATGGGTGACATTACTGCAAAAGTCTCGGTCATGAGGGGCGTCGTCTTTGCCAAAAGGGTGTGGAGAAGAGGACAGTCACAAGGGATTGGCTGCTGTCATTAGGACGTGTGGGTCAGGTCAGGGGAATGAAGTCAGGATCTCTGTCATATGGAGACAACATGTCACAGGGGCATGGTATCATGATTATTACAGGGTGTGACCTCTGTCATGGAGGTGCAATCATCATAACAGGGGTTTGGTCTATAGTAGATGATATTTCTAGTGGTGATGCATTTTTGTCATGGTATGTGGTCTCTGTCAGCATGATGACGCTGTGAGACGGATGTGGTCTTGCTCTCTGTCGTTGAGGTCTCTTCTTCGGGGTCAAAGCTCCTGTCAAGAAGGCGTGATTACTGTCAAGGCTGTGGCCTTTATCACAGGTATAAAGGTCTGTCTCACAGGCGCATGTTTATTTGTTAAATAAATCACTTATTTTAAAAATTTTCACAAAGAAAAGAAAAAGAAAAAAAAACATGCATATCGCAAATTTGATTCATCAAAAAACAAATATATCTTTATTGATTGGTGTACTGATTAGATCAATGCTCTCGGAGACAAGGAGCTTCAGATCCTCCTCAAATTATGCTAGAAGGGTTCTAGAAACAGACCTGTTAAATATGTCTTTCACACCCTTATCAGTCACCTGTCCTCTAAAAAAATTGAAAAAAATATACATATATACCATACAATATACCATATTCATCCTTAATATAATATCTAATGCAGAAACTGTTGATGAACTGCATTGTCTAAATCATCTTTGACCTTGTTCCAAATTTTCAGTAGCAATGGCCATGATCTGAAATTTCTAAATTTTGTTTTTAAACATGTATTTCTATTACCTTTTTTTCATACTTTTGTGAACTTTATCCAAGATCTTTTGCTTTAATCCCAAATTTCCAATATTTTTACTGAGTTTCCCTATGACATTTATGCAATCTTAAAAAGTGAGATTTCTACAAAAAATTTTGTTATAAATATCTACCTGTCCATTACAATTTACACCTCATCAAGATTCTTGTGTCCGAAAAATCCTCCAAAAGGTCAGTGTTAACAAAAATTACAATGTTCATAAAAACAATCAAATGTATTGTCAAGGTTTCATCAATCACAATCAAACAAAACACATTAATTGTTAAAACACAGCCACTGTCTCCAGAAAATTGTACAAACCTGGAAATGATTTTCGTGAAAGAAACCATTGGTCATGCATACACTTGCTTTAAAAAAAACCTTTATTTTGATTCTTAAAATCTAAGAAAACATTGACATTTTCACGAAATCATAATTCAAATTAAAAAAAAAGAAACAATGGCAAATTAGGAACAAATGAAAGATTCACATGGAGAATCCTGACCAAGTATAAGGATAATAAGACCCACTGTTCTAGATTGTTTAGCTACTACTTCATTGATGACATCAGCAGCTATTCTCTCTTCCAGCACCAATTAGACAAGGAATGCCCATGGAACTTCAGAAGACTTTTACATCTACCTCAGTTTGAAATCCATATATGTCAGTTGTATAGAGACAATAACAAATGGTTTTCATAAAACTTGATTATTGCTTAAAATATTTCTGACATAAAAAAAGATGAAAGAAAAAAGTGATATTCTGGAAGACTTGGTTGACATAAAAGTATGAATAATACATGTACAGTGTTCGCCCTCTCCTAAAACAGTGAATCAACGTCAGTCAACACAGACAACCAGCCAATGATATTGTCAAATAATGCTGAACATAAAAAATGTAAAAATTATAGCATCTATAACTTAAAATCCAAGGAAAATATTTATATCTTTACTCAATCACATATTGAGAAAGAGGCCCAAAGAGTCTGTATCACTCACCTATTAAATCAAAGTGGTATAATGATAAAAAAGAAATACACAGGACTTCTGTAATTATATATATAGAGTAAAACAATAGTATCTCCTGAGTGCAATTACTGTGAAATCCTTAATTTCTGCCGGGTTTTATTCTCATTGATTTCTTGGGTACTCTTAATCCATGAATTCATATGTCCATGAATTTTTGAAATAAGGAGAAGTAGATTTATATCCATGATATCATGTGTCATCAAATAGTATTATTTTGAAAAACCCATGAAAACTTAGTCCCACAAAAATATTTGATATTACAGTATAGCTTATATAATTACAAGTGATGATAGAAGGTTTGGAAGAAGGGCATCTTGCAAATATATAAACTATAATAACATTAGCTTTTATACCAACAACATTTTGGGCAATATTGATCGTGTATCCAGTTATATTGTGCAACATAGAGTAAATCCAGTCATGAGAACAGTCAAAACACAAAATGGTTGGCAAGAGAGTTGTGACATCACAATACAGCAGGACCAGCTGCAATTATAGTCTCATAATTACACTTGGTGCCTCGTTATATTGTAATGGGATGAGACATGCAAATGTAAATATACATAAATATTGACCATGATGTGAGGATTGTCAGCGCTATTTGCCCCTGTCCATCTTTGCTTCACCTATCGATTACTGTGATAGATTTTTTATCTCTAATTTGAACTAATATGAATTTAAATGGTTCTAAATCCTTGCATACTACAAGGCTAGAAAATTCAACGAGGCCTAAAATTTTATTTAGGGCTATATGAGGATTTCATTATATTTGACAACTAAATATATGTGACTTGATAGCTCACCAAGTGACTGGCCAATATGAGACTATTGGCTTCGTGGGACTTTGGAAGACATTACAAAACATTGTGACACATTTAACCTAATGAATGCAGCAATCACTTAATTTGAGTACAGTTTAGAGCCTTCAATTCAGCAATTCACAGCCAAAACATTGTTACTCTGCAAAGTATGGGTCATTTCTTGGAGAAAACATTATTCAAGCATTTAACATATTTGACCCTTGTTGCTTTTATTATATGTCAAGGTCCTCATTTAAACAAACTTGCAATCCCTTTCCTACTGTATTCTATATGCACAAAATCATGACCCATGGCTTCATAGTTCTCAAGAAGAAGTTATTCAAATAATATTCTTTATGCCTGGTAGACAACAGACATCAAACAACAACATAAACCTACAGGCTCTCTGTGCTAAAGACAATTTGTTTACTAAAATACCTGGTAATTCAGAATATGAGCCATATATTTTGAAAACAACAACAACTTGAGTATTTCATTCTGTGCAAAGAACTTTTGACACATACACTGGCCTAAAAGTCTACTGTCAACCTACAACCATTTAATCACTGAGAAAAAAAATGACACAATATCTTATCGGTAACCATTTTGATTCCAAAATAGAACTGGGATTTCCGGGCTAATGAAAGAAATTACCATATTTTAAAAAAAATTATCTGGATACCTTAACTTTAATAAAGTGTTGAAGTCGTTATCAAGATGTCAAAATTTTTTTTTAATTATTGGTTTTAATTTAAACCTAATTTTAAATCCTTTAGGTTAATAAAAGGGTTACTGTGGATATATTGTGATAAAAATGTCAGCATCAATCACAAGACATGATGTAATATGAAAGATTTGAAAATCAAAGAGTGAAAATTAGTTACAGAATGAGTTGATCTCAGAACCATTACACTGAAATAATATGCTTGCTGATATCAAGGAATTTTGAGTATTTTGAGAAGGGACCTAACTCTTAGACCAAAAAAACTCTTACTTAATGGAGAATGCTTTTGGTCTGAAATATTAAAAAAGTTGGAACTCTTTTGATGCTGTGGTGCCTTGATACCTTAACAAAATTATCAAATATTTTTATTTCACACCATACTGACATACTCCAATATGGTTTACTGTGAAACGACCTTTGGCACAGCCTTTGGCATCACATAAACAAAGAGTGGGCTTATTATGGTCGAATTGTGGATGCAACAAAATGATGTCGGACAATATCATAAATTAAGTTATACTTATGCAATGAATTCCTTTCAATCCAAAACTTAATACTTTCCTGTTTTTATCTTATAATGTCACTAAATATATTCTGTTTTTTATCTCACTTCTACCAGAGTAGCCAACTTTTCTTCTTCTGTCTTGTGGTGTCTTTGTCTGTTTTTGCTGCGTCGTCAGATGCACACTGCAAGACAACATGAGAAAATTATCATCAACAATCCTTGATACATTTCAATTAAAATACCATTTCATCCAGGCATAAACTTTTACAAATGTTGCATATTTAGTCAAGCATGCTAAAACAAAAACAAAACAAAAAATTCAATCAAAGTAATATGCATGCTACACCTATATAATAAAAGCAGAAATTATGCAAATATGTAAAACTAATTTGAAAATAATTTTGAGAGAGCTCTGTTGTTCAATTTGTCACACCACATGAATTTAATATCAAAATATTCATCACATTTATCTGATAAGTTTTATGTACGTACCTTTCAGAGTCCAATGTTTTTTGTTGATGCCTAACCCTGAATCCTGAATACACTTTTAATCGAAGATTTTTTTTGTACTTTGTTAGAAAATGAAGTGAATTAATTTCATGAAAATTAAGAGAATTCTGACCAAGCAGAATACCTGCTAGCATCAATTTATGAAAAATTGCATATATACCAAACAAAAACACAAAACTCCAGATGTTATATGAAGAGCTGGTTTTATTCCATACTTAAAAATGTATGCAAAAACATGTAAATTAATATACAATGAACCTGGGACGTTTCTTACTAAAAGATGACAGAGAAACTGACAATCATATTAATTCACACTTTGAAGATGAGACATTCCAAAAAAATCAGGGATTATATTTAATAAATAAATTTACAAATTTTCATTTATTCATATTTTTTTCTAAAGCAATAATGTTAGAACAAGATTTTCAGCTTGACTTATGATCATAAACACATTTTCATTACAAAACCATTTTTTCATCATCTCAAATACCACATCATTGTATCTTGATTTTTACACTCACCAGACTACACGGTACTGTTTTGATTTTTTAAACCAACAACAGAGCTGAAGAGAAATGCTGTTTTCTGATGTGTTAACTGATTAATTGAGTCCTGGGAAAAAAAGGAATTATCAGATATCATATGTATCAACCAATCCTGAAAGCGATAGATATTTCTTTCATCAATCAGGGAAAAACTTGCTTTTTTCATTGTTTAATCTGTCAGCCTGAGAAAAGTCTTCTTCTTGAAAGTAAAACATGACTTTTATCTTGTCTCTAGTAGATTTAATGAGATAACAATGCCACTAACAATATTTTTAGTACATCTTTTATATCTCAGCATGGAAAGTCACAGTAAGAGTTCACTGCCAACTTAGGTTAATGCAACCATCGATTTAAATTGCACTATAATTTTCTGAGCAAAAAATATTTAATTAATTGTGTTATTGGAGACAGAATTCTAACTACTGAGAAAGTTATCTTTGATCTTTCAAATGTCATTGATAAATTAATTTTCAGCACATAGCAATATGGCATTTTTTAAGAAATAAGTTTACCTGTTACATACCAGGTATGTAATTCATTTAAAGATCATTTACATTCTTGTTCAATATCTAGCCACACAAATAAATGGAAATTTTTCTATAGAAAAAAAACAATAGACAAAAAAATAAAAACAAATTAAAACAAACTATCTATACCACAAATTAATATAAATAATTACAATTATCATGGAAATTGCCAGTAAAATCTAGTGCAGGCTTATTGATAAACATATCAGGATTTGCAGTTTAAATAATAATGTACCAAAAGGTCAAAGTGCAAGCAACAGATGATTGTAAAATGAGTAATTGATCTGTTACAGGATTATAATAGCAAGGTAAAAATGAGATGAAAATGATGAACAGATTTATAGAAACAACAGTATAAATCATTCCTGTTGTTTTTAATCATTGGGTTGTAAACAGTCTGGCAATTGGAAAAAAAATGAAACTGAATTATTTTATTGTTTTAATTGGTAAAACCTCAAGTATTTGCTCAGTTAACAGATATTAATGGGAATCTTTACTAACTGTATGTAAATGGAAAATGTATTTTAGTTAAAGTTTATTAAAAAATGATGTTTAAGAATAAAAAAAACTGAAAACAAATGGTAAATGTTGATACTTCATCCAAAAATTGATGGCTTATATTTTAATTATGAATTAAAATTTTTGACAACAAATCAACAAAACTTCCAACACACAGATAAACACTAAATGTTACTAGTGTATTAAATATTTATCATTGATACACAAAAGCACAACATGAAGATTTACATCAGTTACCTCCCATTACACAAGGTTATCTAGATATTGCTGTGAAAATTATCCTCTTTTATATAAGGTATCAAGAAACTATCAAGTCTGTGTTAAACCCCAATATTTTTTAGCAAATGAAAAAACTGCATATAACACTGCACTATAATAAGCTCTCCCGCATTTTTTGTAGGTGTGTGTTGGATTGCTGGGCTTATTGAAGGATACATGTAGATCACTTCAACAAGCCAAAATCAAGACATCTGCATCGTAACAACTATGTAATATTTTGCTATAGGTCAGATTAAAATAAAAGAAACAAAAAACCTTCCTATTTTAGACGCAGTTTAAACCTTCTAGTGACTCTGATTTCTACTAAGAAGTTTTCAATAGCTGCTTTTTGAGTTAGCCATTTCTGGAATTGGTTTAAATACAACTATATATGAACTTTATCTGTTTTACAACAACTGTGAAACAGTTTTAAACTTTATTAAGCGTACTCACTCTGGTCTTTGGTAAATACATATCTGTTAATTCATGTGAAGGAATATCTGTCAACCTATGTGATCTATTAACCCATGTGATGAAATATCTGTCAACCTTTGTGATCTGTTAACCTATGTGATGAAACATCTGTCAACCTATGTGATCTTTTAACCTATGTGATGAAATATCTGTCAACCTTTGTGATCTGTTAACCTATGTGACGAAATATCTGTTAACACAATCAAAAAATGCTGATCTAAACTTTTTTCTTTCAACCTTGGAATACTTAGTAGTTCTGAAATAAAATAAACTTCAAATCCTGAAGACTGTGCCTCTTTGCCTCTCATAAATGTAAATAAACAAAATGTATGTGATATATTATACATGCCTAACATGCCTTCAGTGCAAATTTTGATACTATATATAGCAAAAACCTAATGATTATAATTACAGATGCTCTGCTGAAAAATATGTCTCAATTAATTTGAGGTTGTTATTGCCTACACTTAGTTTTAATATCAGTATAATTATAAGACTTAAAAATTAAGAACAGAAAGTCAACTTTACGTATCTTTATCGTGCAGCAGGTATCCCCCCAATAACCAAATACAGTTCACCAATCAGAAAACCTATAATCTTAAGCATTAATATCAACAAGATTTAACCCAGATAACTCTAACTAGCAATTTGACCAAGACAGAATAACTAATAATTTTAACCATTAATGTCACCGAGACCCCAACCTAATAATTTTAACCATTAATGTCACCGAGACCCCAACCTAATAATTTTAACCATTAATATCACTGAGACCCCAACCTAATAATTTTAACCATTAATGTCACCGAGACCCCAACCTAATAATTTTAACCATTAATGTCACCGAGACCCCAACCTAATAATTTTAACCATTAGTGTCACTTAGACCCCAACCTAATAATTTTAACCATTAATGTCAACAAGAGTCACAAACTGAGAATTTCAACCATGAAATTCACCAAGATCATAAAACTGATCAATTTACCAAGGTAATCATAAATTTTACCAAGATCCCCAAACTGATAATTTTAACCATTAATTTCAGCAATACCCCTCCAATGATCATCTTAATCATTAATGTCACAAAGACCAAACTAACAAATGTTCTAGAGCATGTCAGCTCCTTATAAAGATGCCAAATGTCACAGATACCAGCAGCCTGTGAATACAATCTGTTCCATATCCCTAGCTTTGTGAATTGATTAGACTGGGAGTTCCCACAGGAAACAACTCTTGGACAAAGGTAGATTTTTTATTATACATACAGTAGGTATGCTGTACCTAAGTTAATTACAATGATTTTTTTCTCACTTTTTTCAACTGTAAAAATTTAGAATTTGAGAGCCTAAGTAAGAAGTGCTTTCCATTATCTGGTCAATTGTGAAAGACAAACCAAAACAATCACTGATATACTAGTACAAAAAGGAAAAATCCCTTTGAAACTAATGTTAAGTCTATGGTTCACTTTAAAACAAAATAATACTGAAATTTCTAATGCTGATCAAATTATATCTTAAGATCAAAGGTATTAAAACAATTCTTGGTTTCTTATAAAAGTAATTTTCTACCAGAAAAAATTAGCAATTGAGTACCAGTAGTCTATATCATCTATCTACAAAAAATATAAAATTGTGTATCTATGATATACATACACATAATCGTTAAATGCAGACAAATGCATTGATTGATAAAAAAAAATAAAATTACACCTTATATTGCAATCAACAACAACATTCAAATTCAATGAGCATGACAAGAAATTAAAACTAATTTAACATTAAGTTCACATATACTTTCAATATATAAGCACTAAGTGATATAAAAAGTATCATATATATATAAAGTACTCAAAAACAAGTGAGACAGTCCAACATACACTAATTACATACATGTTCAACTTGAGAGTAATATTAATCACAAATTTTCATAACTCACAAAATTTCTAGCTATAATTTAAGAATTGAAACAAATATTTTTATCTATATTGATTACATTTAAAGGTAAGAAATTTCATCTTACATTTTTAATTTGTGTCTTTAAGTTAAATTAAACAGACATTTGATTTTTTTTAAGCTTACCTCTATAACATTTTAAAATAGTAATCGAAATAAAAAAGCAAATTGAAACATTGATAATAATGCCTAGAACATATCACTTTTAAACACATAATGACTTTTTAAACTCATTAATTGCAAAATCAAAAATAGCATGCTCAAAGCTTCAGTCAATGGGTTCTCTAAGCATGCTTTGTGTCACTATTTACAAACAATAAATGACCACCTGTTTGATGACATCAAAATTTGATCTTAAATATTTATTTTACTCTCATCAAACCATCAATTAGACTGTAAATCTTGAATGAAAGGAAACCTCTTCTAAACAAAATTGTTCACAGTTATAGTTACCTCCCCTTATATCCCTACCTGTATTTGTTTGTTTGAATGCTGAGTTTACCATCCTGCAAACAACCAGGGGTCATTCTGACTGTTGATTTCCTTTCAGAAGCGATGACTACCTCACTGAACAACATGCAAGAGGCTCGCCATATTCTATCTGGAGCCAATTGGGTAAAAGACACAACATCAACAGGGCAGTCTGTGACCCCTTTCCTGAGAAACACAAGCTGCCCAAGTTAGGGATCAAAGAAAACACCTTGAATTCACTTGAGGTTTAAAAATCTGAATACTTACTGATTAAGAACCCTCCTTTTCACCATTATTGTGCATTTATCATTTACTTTCTCAAAACTGTATTGTACTTACTGAACAATCAACCCCACCCCCCTTACATTTGTTTGTTACCTCCCTTTACTGCACTTGGTTAGGACAACTTACAATCTCTCTATTACACTAACGTAAATTTCGAACTATTTAAGACTTTTTTTCTCTAGGGAGTCAAACAGGGTTCCACACATCATTATACTTTGTTCATAATCTTCTATGATACTTAAGACCTGCAGAAAATCCAGAATATATTCTCCAATTTGCATTTATCTTTTGAATTTGCAGTCCATGAAAAAGACTCCACTCATATTTTTCATCTTATTTATGGATACACTATCAAAAATATATGCCAAAGCTTTGCCATAATTACTCTCTTTTCTCAGCTGAACATAAAATAATACATCTAGAGAATTAAATGTCGAATTTTTGGTAACTCAAGACTGGTTTTGCATACAATAGCAAAAATAACATAACGAGAAACAAAATCTATTCTACAGAAATGAACATTGCATTCCGTGAAATATACATTCATCAACAGAACAATATCAACATATACATGACGTAACACTACTGACAACTGACAAAATGGCACACATCAGAAACATAAGGTTCTCTATTTGTTTCATTGTCATTAACACAAGTTACCTGACCTAAGCTTTCCAAATCTTTTTTTGTTCAATATTACATAAATTTAGAATAATCAGTATCTGTCCTTCTTCTACTTTATTGACAGAGACACGAGAACTTGAGTGCCATAATAATTTTAATCGTAGATTACAAATTCTCAAGCCCCTTTAAGTAACTAGATAAGTCAAAACGCCAATTGGAGACTTATGCAACATCTAATGGTCAACAGAATGCATGAAAAATATAACTGCTTTTTCATCATATAATGGGCTTTGAATTAGAAAGAAATAACTTTTTTTTTTTTTGATTTTTTGATTTTTTTTTTTTCTTTTGATAATGTACTAAAATTGACTGATATTGAATCCTAACAGAAAACAAAAATATGATTTGTAAATACTGAAAAAATGTATCACTGATCTATGCAATTTTGTCTGTCTCGAGTGTCAAAGGTGGGAGCATATCACAAAAAACACAATACAAGGGAAATAACTAGGCAAAACATTCCATGCAGTAGTTGAAGCAGACGGTGAGAGGTCATACCCATTCTCCATGGGGATAAACTTTGGTAACGGGAAAATTCTCCATGTCAAACGCTTCTGATGCTGGATTCATTGGTTGGTCTCCTGACGTCTGTCAAAATAGAAAATTTCTGTAAATTTTGCTATCAGAGGGGAAGTTTCAGCGACTGAGGCAGAATTGCCAAAACCATGTGATTTCTTCTAGTAAACCTGGCACTGACCAAGTAACTGTGATGTGTAATGATATCAAAATAAAATGATGAATGTCAGTGTTAATATTTAAACAGTATATCCAAACAACAAAAGAATTAATATTTGAAATATTTTCAACAGAAATGTTTTTATCATATTTCATTTTCAACATCCTATTTTCATTTCCATGTCAAAAACTGTTTCTGATTACTTAAAAGTATAACAGAAAAACATTTGCTAACAATCTGTTGTCACGATTTACTCAATAAATACCAGTACCTATCACCAATCATCAATTAAACTTTTTAAAATCTTTGATTTTATATGTATGTGTATTCCAGCTGCACAAAAAATGGCCAGTCTCCAAAAAATAATTTCAAAATAGAAAATGATCATAAGACATGAATGCTCCTGCTGCCATCCATACAATATCTGCCAAAAAAAACCCCTAAAATTCTATAATGTTAACAATGACCTTGAAAGATGTTAAGGCATTTCATAGAGTGATGGTAGTGATTTAGGATGGTATATTGGATGTAATGTGATTCAGACAGACATGGGTTTCTCTTCAATCCCGTTTTTACATCACAATAAATGGCAAGGGTATCCAATGTAAGTTTGTAAATTGACCCATAAATGAAATATACATGTACCTGCTTAAATTTAGAGTTTGACCTTTGCTTGATCATATATAATTTTGAGAATTCATCTGAAAAATGTGTGAAAGATCAGAAATACATGATTTTAAACCAATGCTCATGTAGAGTAAAAAAAAACCAAAACATGCAAGCAGAAAATGTAGGTCACATAACAGCATCTGAAGCATGTTGTAAGCATCTTAAGCTTTGATCTATTAATTAGAAAAATGACTGTATTAATTGGCAATAAGCCAGATATTCATATTCTGTATCATTACCATCATCTACTATCTATTATCTTGTAATAAGCACGGCATCTCCCTGTTTAGTGTCAGAGGTACAAGTTGGCCCTTAAGATTTATTGAGGAATAAATATGGATCATGTAGAAATTGATAAATCACTGTGGAGTAGGAAAACAAAATGATATCCAATAGGGGAGATAACCAGGTTAAAGGGATGTAACAAAGACTGGTCACCACTTATTCTACTCTCTGCCAAGACTACACTCTATCTTGCAAAGACCAGTAGCCATCATGGGAACAAATTCCCATCTATGTTTAAGCATACCCTATGAAGATGCATATTTAGAGCAGAGTTGTGAAACAGTCCTTTATATAATGGAGAACAGCCCAGAGGGAGAGTGACATAACTTGGAGAAGAAAAAAAAGGCTAATCAAGGGAGGTAACAAGAAAAAAACAGGAGAAATTACAAAACACTGGGGAGGTAGTAAGATTATAGAGGGGTGGTAACAAGGTAAAACAAAGGTGGTAACAAGGTAAAATTGGGGAGGTAACAAGGTAAAACTAGGGCGGTAAAAAGGTAAAACATACAAAATAAGGTTAAGTAACGATGGTAAAAATAAGCGAAGAGTCACACAAAAGTTCACACAAGGACCATATCAGCTTAGTAGAGATTAACTCTCCTATCTATACTGTCTTATGCTGATTTAAATACTTCAAAATTAGAGCGATCCAAGATAAAGTGCTTCAGGAAGCCATATTGGTACAGCTAAAAATATGTATTCATGTCATTATGAATGCAATAAGATGATATCTATCTTTATCCAGAAGCCATAAAAGCTTTATGCAATATGGATTTTACTAAACTGCATTCATAAAAGCATAACTATTAATACAATCTCAACATAGAGACAATTACTCAATGAATTGCTATCATTAACCATAGAGACAATTACCCAATGAATTGCTATCATTAACCATAGAGACAATTACCCAATGAATTGCTATCATTAACCATAGAGACAATTACCCAAAGAATTGCTATCATTAACCATAGAGACAATTGCCCAATGAATTGCTATCATTAACCATAGAGACAATTGCCCAATGAATTGCTATCATTAACCATAGAGACAATTGCCCAATGAATTGCTATCATTAACCATAGAGACAATTGCCCAATGAATTGCTATCATTAACCATAGAGACAATTGCCCAATGAATTGCTATCATTAACCATAGAGACAATTGCCCAATGAATTGCTATCATTAACCATAGAGACAATTGCCCAATGAATTGCTATCATTAACCAGAGACAATTGCCCAATGAATTGCTATCATTAACCATAGAGACAATTGCCCAATGAATTGCTATCATTAACCATAGAGACAATTGCCCAATGAATTGCTATCATTAACCATAGAGACAATTACCCAATGAATTGCTATCATTAACCATAGAGACAATTACCCAATGAATTGCTATCATTAACCATAGAGACAATTACCCAATGAATTGCTATCATTAACCGATCAAAGTTGGCCACAGTATATCTGGCAATTTTTTGTGAAAGTTTACTATGCATTGTTTGGCAATGGAAATAACAAAATGTAAACATCCTGGTAATTAGTAAAGACACACGTGTGCTTGAATATCATCAAAGAGTGTAGTTTTTTTAATTTGCTCACCTGAAACCTCTGAATTCAACTTGACAACTTTTTAAGTGACAAAATATTGATCAAATGTTAACTAATAAACCAAGATAACTTTGAGAAAAATTGAGAACTTAAAAAACAATGAATCAAAAGTTGGTCAAGTTGTTATATTATGATCAAGTCAAGCTTAATCAGGAGATTTTGAAGGATGCTATCTGCTAGGTCCTCTTAGTGTTTGAAGGAAGTGGTTCAGAAATATCACACGTGATCATAAACTAGTGAGTGATATATACAGTTCATGGAAGAACAAGTTTTATTGTGACTCATTGATATATTGAAAATGTTGATATTTAAGGAATTCTACTTTTTTACTATTTTTAAAGGTAAAATAAATGATAAAAAACTGATACTTTGGAAAAGAACAAAAGGGAAAAAACATTTCACAATTTCCATGAAAGATCGGACTCTTAAGCTTCCTTTAATTTTTTGTATAACCATAAAACAAATCAAGAAAAAAAAAAGAAAGGAAACTTCAAACTGTATAAAATGTGTACATTTGTTATCAAGTTATTATTACCACCAACAAAATAACTTTTTTTGAAGATGGATTTTTACTATAGAGAGAGAAATGAAGTATTTCTTCCATCAACTGCCAATTCTGTGAACTGAAGACTAGCTGTTTCTATGGAAACTAATGACAAACAATACCTGTTACCACCAAGACTCTTAGATCATTGATTCATACACATAGCGACGCTTCTTACTAGCCTGAAAATAGTGCCAGGGTTATAAATGGTAATCAAATGAAATACAAGATCAAAAAGAGGTTGAATGGGCCTGTATACTAATAGTAATCTTACCTCCCTAAACTTTGAAGATAGTTTGTCAAATTCATTGAGAATGAAAGTAGGACTAGGTCTTACATCATATAAATGACTCTTGGCCTTTTGGTTATTAAGAAGAAGCTTTTTACTGTGAAAGCAAATTTGAACTCATCAACCTAAGAAGCAAATATCATAATCCTGGAGATCTCTGTTAATCTGCTTATTTAAGCATTAAAACCCATTTAAAAGTTCTAACTTTGAAAGTGAGCTAAAGTCAGTTAATACTACTTGATACAATGCATTGCATTATTCAAGTATGATACTTCCTGAATTTAATAACCCTAGCCAGCATTCTATATTATTCAACAGTAGATGTTTAAGATTTAACATATTTGGCCCCTGTGACCTTGCAAGTGGCTCAAGGTTATTTATCTTTTAAAAAAGCATCAGACAGACTTTCATTCTAAGAGCTAGCTATAAAATTAAAAACCAATGATTTCATATCAAAGAAAATTTTTCACATTCTTTTACAAAGATTTAAAGTTAAGATTAAGTTGGTCAAAGTCATTCAACAGAGCAAACTTGAAAACCCTTATCCATGTATGCTCCAGATGCATGACTACAGTTGTCCTTTATCAAATAATACATATCTATACAAACTATAATATAAACTTGCCATTATCAAAAGTAATTGCCTTCTTTATTATCATTAAAAAATCATTGTTATGGGCATTGTCCCAAAATCTGTTCCGAGATTGCAAGGATAAAGAGACCATGGTCAAATCCCCTTTCAAGCATTTTGTCTCAAACAGGAATCTTTCAAAAATCTATATATTTCTATTTTAATTTTTCATTTTCCTTTCTTCTTTTTTACTTTCTGATTATTTATTCATAAAAAATATCAATCCCTTAAGCCAGTCAATTAAATACTGGTCATATGAATATCAAACAAAATTTTACAATACTGAGTTTGAAATATGTTGATTCATAAACTCTGCTGAAAAATCAGTATTTATCACATTCATTAAATATATGCAAATATACTTTAAAAAAATTCAAAGACATAATTTCAACCTAAAACAATCAATATTTCAATAATTGTGCTCAGTGTTCACAGGCGGAGGCTCGCACATGTTAGATTGCTGGATCAGAAAAATTTCATATGGAAATGATACAAGGCTTGACCTGATCAAGACAGGCAAATGATGTAAGGACAAGATACACTTACATGCTATACTATAGTCTAGTAACCTGAAAATGATATAGATAAATCATAAGTTTACCTCAAGAAGGAAGATTTACAAAACTAGCACATTACATTTTGTTTTCATTATTGCTTAATGTTGATAAAATATTTGACATCTATGTAACAATGCAGTCTAGGCAGTTTATGATTTACTTAAAGGCATCATTCTTTCAGCTATCTGTTGAATACATAGTCATGCAAATTTCTACTGTATACAAGCCTTCAAAACTGTTTTCTGCAAAATTTTCTCTCAAAACATCCAGACACAGCTAACTGTAAAAATTTCATTTTTAAGGAAGTCTTTTTCCAATCAATTTTTTTTTTTAATTTTTGTAGAACGAGACAGTGGAATAAAACTGATGAAATAGATACCTCAATATAGGATGATAAGACTTAATCATAGCTAATTTCACGACTTCTGTGGAATGTTAATTCTATTTGCTTCAACTTTTGGTAAAACTGCAAACATTTTAACTATCTAAAATAAACACTATTACAGTTGTACATTTATGACTTACTTTTACTTGAAGGCATCATTTTTAGGAATTTTCTGTCGGCTATCTCCTGAATACAAAGAGAGACTTGCAAAATTCTACTGTTAAAAAGCCCTCAAAATTGCTTCCTGTTGAAATTTGTCTGTATTCAATAATATGAAAACAAACAGTTTACAGCCTTCTTATGCAGTTAGAATATAACATTTAAATACTACTGCCTGGAATGATGCCGAAAAGTAGAAACTTTTTCAAGAAAAGGTATTTTACAAAACTTAAACCAAATATGAAATGGCAAGCATCTAAAGTCTGGAACAAGAGATCCCAGATCTTAATTTCTTCTTTAAAATTTGGATCTTTTCCCTATTTTTCTCTTCTCTCCTCTGTTTTTGCTGTTACTGATTCAAACTCTGAACATTCCTTTGCAGAAAAAAGTTCTCATATTTAACTGCCGAATCCAAGATGGTCACTTGTCCACAATTTTGCTTTTCTGATCAGTCCCATAATCAAACAGGCACAACAAAGTACCAAGGGAGTCTACATATGAAATTTGAGAAAGATCCATCCAAAATTTCTCATAACTTTCAAAAATCAAATTCAAAGATGGCTCCTATCAACCATATTGTTTTTCTGATCAGTTCTAAAATCAGGCATAAATAGAGACCATGAGGAACCTATATATGGAATTCGAGAAAGATCCATCCTGTATTTCTCAAGCAATAGCAATAATGAACATTCTTTGTTGAAATCCAAGATGGCCAGCTGTAGGACATTTTGTTTTTCTGATCAGACGAAGATCAAACAGATCACAATTTTGGAAGCATACATATGTAATTTGAGAAAATAGCCTGTATTTCTCAAGAAATAGTGATAACAAACTTAATTGTAAAAATCAAAGATGACTGTTTGTTGGCCATTTTGTTTTTCTGATAAGATCCAAAATGTAACAAGACAACAAGGGACCAAGAGAAACCTACAATCTGTTACTTCTCAAGAAATAACATAAACAAAACTTGGTTACGGACAGACGAACCAAAGACAAATTCTTAAACAAGTCAGAACATTTGTGTTTCATGATTTCTCAGCTTGTTACTGTTTTAAACACCTGTTGAATGCAGAAAAAAATCACATTCATGTACTGTTGTACAGTGGTTGTGAGAATGACTTTTGACATAACTTGTGATCATAACATCTGTACAGACCAGGATAGAAAACGTTATTGGACAGGGAAATATCAATATTCTTACCCCTCAAGACCAGGTCTAATTAAAAAAGAGGGAAACAAGCCTAATCAAGACTGCCCCTTGACAAAATATATGGAAAAAATACTTCTCATTGTTTCATATACCAATAATTAATGCAGTTATTGTTTTTCTAAATTCAACATTCCAATTCAGTAATTTTTGAAAATTAAATAAATAATACACCTAGTCTTCAAAATCTGCTGATTTTTTGTCTCACATTAAAAAACGATTAAAACATAAAAGCTCTGAGTGAAAGCTGTTAAGAGAGTTAATCTGTAAGGGTACTTTAGTTATAAGACTACCACATAGATAATAAAATACTAACTTTTAGGACACCCTGACCATGAAGTCAGGGCAAAGCCTGGATATGACAAATATCACATTTCTGTACTATATATATAAAACAGAGTAATGTAAAAATTATTAACATGAAAGATCATTTTAACAAATATTCATCAAGAAAAAATTTACAACAATTACATAGTCTTAAAATTCATCTGAAACATTGACTCTTGTGGCCTTCAAATAACACTCATCTTGCGATGAAATTTCAATTGTTTGGTTTTTTTTTTCGCAAACTTTCACTTTACTTATTGAAAATTAATGACAACATGTTTAATTTGTCACATAATTGGGGATCAAAACTGAAACAACTAAATCTGAAAGACACTTCACACCTTACATCATTGCCATGGAACTCATCAACATTTTAGGATTGGTGTTCTGGACTCGCTTGAAAGAGTCCTACAATACTAACTAATTCACACCTTCCTGTTGCTGTGTATAACAAGTAAAAGTATATACTGGGGTAGATAGTAATTCTAAAAGTCAATTAAACAAGTAACACTGATCTGTTGACAGACAAAAAATGGCAAACACAATAATAAAAATAAAACGAAAAAAAAAAAAAAAATGAACAGAAAAGGTATTATGACAAATTAATCTATTTCTTAATAAGTGTAATGGGTGTGAACATACCTGGACCGAGTTTTCTGGTTCTAGAGCATATGTCTTCTGTATAGCATCAATCCAACTCACCATCTCTTCAGGATTATCACACTGAAACAGGTTTACACCACTTAAATAACCTTTATATATGATCAGCAACCTGAGAGACTTAACCTTCACATGGGACTGAGAGCAGAAAAGATAAAAAAAATAATTGCTCCAAAAACAATACTAATGTTGTAATGGAAATTAGTTAAAACTATGTACTGGTCATTTTAAAATAAAATTCAGTAAATTTAGGGTATTGGAACTTAATTTTTTTTTAAATAGTGGCCAAAAACATTTATTGCAATGTTAATAAGCTGACAAACTAAATGCGTGCTTTAAGTGTTGACATATCTAAAATGGAGAAGAAAATTAAGGATAAGGATGGATTAAATTTAGGCAACATATCATTTATCAAAGTCAGGGGGTGGGCTTATTATTTGACAATGTAATTTTCCTAAAGAGCAATATTTCACATAAGGGTGGGCTTATTATTGTCAAATAAATATGGGATGTCATTATACTGTAGAAAACAATTCCTTATAACAGAATAAACAAGATAAGAGAGGCCCCATGAACCTATCAAAGTGTCAATGAAAATGATATTAACTTTAAATATGTAAATCATTTTGTTGACTTTATTAATTCTTAATTGGATATAAATTTACTCACCTGTATATAAAAGGTTCGTTTAAGTGTTACTATTTCATACAAATTATCTCGATTCGGATGTCTGGGGAAAAAAGAGCAAATTTATCATTATAATGTTTGAACAGATCAGTATATCTGCCTACTGCATATCACATTGAACAGGAAATTTTTAATAAACAGTATTTTTTCAAAAAAATCTTTGGAATTCCTGTAAAAAAGATAAAAATGTTTTAAGAATACTTCCACTGTGAACACAACAGAATCCAAGCAGCATAATATGGGATATCTGATTGTGTATGGTCTCCATTGTCTGACTGTACAGGGAAGGAGATCATTTATAAAGATCATCTTGTATTCATTCAAATAGCTTCTCCTCATTGTAGAAAAATCTTTATAAAACCAGAAAATGTCTGTAAGACATAAAAGTCCTGGTTCCCATGAAAACAAGTATCATTTTTTTGATGAATTTGCAGAAGTTGTGAAATGAAATATAACCTTTGACCTACAGGGTGAACATGAACCCAATCTGTTTGGAGGTTCAGGGTGAACATGAACCCAATCTGTTTGGAGGTTCAGGGTGAACATGAACCCAATTTGTTTGGAGGTTCAGGGTGAACATGAACCCAATCTGTTTGGAGGTTCAGGGTGAACATGAACCCAATCTGTTTGGAGGTTCATGGTGAACATGAACCCAATTTGTTTGGAGGTTCAGGGTGAACATGAACCCAATCTGTTTGGAGGTTCAGGGTGAACATGAGAGGTTCTCAAGATATGACATTTATTCTAAACAAAATGCCACAGGATAGTCAGACATGGGTAACACTACAACACCCCGTAAAATCAGACATTAAAAAAGTTTGTAATCAAAAACTGTAAGTGAGTAAGGATGTGAATATTTGTTTATAATTACATACTTGGTAGATACTTTCACTTCCTGGACATCGTTTCTTGGTATAAGGCCTAGTGGTTCTTTAGCCTGTGGTAAAGAATACATTTACTTTATATTATAGCTACTTTCATTCATGTCTTTCAAACTACATGTTCATCAATCATTATTCCTTAACCTTATGACAAAAGCTGTACTTTGAATTCATCCCCTCATATTTCCTCTGCTGGGCAATTTCACATAAGTGCAAACTTAAAGATTTTCACAAGAAAATTTGAATGGTGATTATTTTGTGAAGCAACATAAAATTATAGGACCTTCTCTGAGAGTAGAAACTGTTTAAGATTAGCTAACATTGATAAATCAATATCTAAAAACCTATAAACAAAATACAATAAACTGGCTTACCTTCTTAGAACTGAAATATAAAATGTTTTGTTCTGTTAATACAAAATATCTTCTCTTCCAGTTTTTTCTCTGCAAAAGTAAACAATGATCAAATTTTACTCAACAGTAGATCCAAAGGAATCCAGTATTCTAGTTAGTAACACTTTACATGACTGTTCAAATTCAATCAATATTACAGTTGTTTTGTCCCTAATTCAATATCAAAGTTGTTTTGTCCCTAATTCAATATAAAGGGCATTTTGTCCCTAATTCAATGTTAAAGGTGTTTTGTCCCTAATTCAATATAAAGGGCATTTTGTCCCTAATTCAATGTTAAAGGTGTTTTAAAGGGCATTTTGTCCCTAATTCAATGTTAAAGGTGTTTTGTCCTTAATTCAATAAAAAGGGCATTTTGTCAATATAAAGGTATTTTGTCCCTAATTCAATATAAAGGGCATTTTGTCCCTAATTCAATGTTAAAGGTGTTTTGTCCCTAATTCAACGTTAAAGGTGTTTTGTCCCTAATTCAATGTTAAAGATGTTTTGTCCCTTATTCAATATTAAAGGTGTTTTGTCCCTAATTCAACGTTAAAGGTGTTTTGTCCCTAATTCAACGTTAAAGGTGTTTTGTCCCTTATTCAATATTAAAGGTGTTTTGTCCCTTATTCAATGTTAAAGGTGTTTTGTCCCTAATTCAACGTTAAAGGTGTTTTGTCCCTTATTCAATGTTAAAGGTGTTTTGTCCCTTATTCAATGTTAAAGGTGTTTTGTCCCTTATTCAATGTTAAAGGTGTTTTGTCCTTAATTCAATAAAAAGGGCATTTTGTCCCTAATTCAATGTTAAAGGTGTTTTGTCCCTAATTCAATATAAAGGGCATTTTGTCCCTAATTCAATGTTAAAGGTGTTTTGTCCCTAATTCAATGTTAAAGGTGTTTTGTCCCTTATTCAATATTAAAGGTGTTTTGTCCCTAATTCAACGTTAAAGGTGTTTTGTCCCTTATTCAATGTTAAAGGTGTTTTGTCCCTTATTCAATGTTAAAGGTGTTTTGTCCCTTATTCAATATTAAAGGTGTTTTGTCCCTTATTCAATGTTAAAGGTGTTTTGTCCCTTATTCAATATTAAAGGTGTTTTGTCCCTAATTCAATGTTAAAGGTGTTTTGTCCCTTATTCAATATCAATGTTTTGTCCCTATAACGTTAAAGGTGTTTTGTCCCTAATTCAACGTTAAAGGTGTTTTGTCCCTTATTCAATATTAAAGGTGTTTTGTCCCTTATTCAATGTTAAAGGTGTTTTGTCTCTTAATCAATATTAAAGGTGTTTTGTCCCTTATTCAATGTTAAAGGTGTTTTGTCCCTTATTCAATATTAAAGGTGTTTTGTCCCTAATTCAACGTTAAAGGTGTTTTGTCCCTTATTCAATGTTAAAGGTGTTTTGTCCTTAATTCAATAAAAAGGGCATTTTGTCCCTAATTCAATGTTAAAGGTGTTTTGTCCCTAATTCGATATAAAGGGCATTTTGTCCCTAATTCAATGTTAAAGGTGTTTTGTCCCTAATTTAATGTTAAAGGTGTTTTGTCCCTTATTCAATATTAAAGGTGTTTTGTCCCTAATTCAACGTTAAAGGTGTTTTGTCCCTTATTCAATGTTAAAGGTGTTTTGTCCCTTATTCAATGTTAAAGGTGTTTTGTCCCTTATTCAATATTAAAGGTGTTTTGTCCCTTATTCAATGTTAAAGGTGTTTTGTCCCTTATTCAATGTTAAAGGTGTTTTGTCCCTTATTCAATATTAAAGGTGTTTTGTCCCTTATTCAATGTTAAAGGTGTTTTGTCCCTTATTCAATGTTAAAGGTGTTTTGTCCCTTATTCAATGTTAAAGGTGTTTTGTCCCTTATTCAATATTAAAGGTGTTTTGTCCCTTATTCAATGTTAAAGGTGTTTTGTCCCTTAATCAATATTAAAAGTGTTTTGTCCCTTATTCAATATTAAAGGTGTTTTGTCCCTTATTCAATATTAAAGGTGTTTTGTCCCTTATTCAATGTTAAAGGTGTTTTGTCCCTTAATCAATATTAAAGGTGTTTTGTCCCTTATTCAATGTTAAAGGTGTTTTGTCCCTTATTCAATATTAAAGGTGTTTTGTCCCTTATTCAATGTTAAAGGTGTTTTGACCCTTATTCAATGTTAAAAGTGTTTTGTCCCTTATTCAATGTTAAAGGTGTTTTGTCCCTTATTCAATGTTAAAGGTGTTTTGTCCCTTATTCAATGTTAAAGGTGTTTTGTCCTTATTCAATGTTAAAGGTGTTTTGTCCCTTATTCAATATCTTACTACAAAGCATATTGTTTACTAGATTTTAAATCTAATGAAAATATCAATTTGCTAATGAGTAGTTCATTAAATTTTTTTAAACTATTCTTAAACCCAATTCTTAAAAATGTCTCACAGCATCCAATTTAGTTTTTGTCTTAAATTTCTACTGACTGTGCGTACATAATTAACAGGAAAACAAGACATTTCTTTTTTCATCTTATAGTCTTGTTTTTTTCATTATCCATTTATGAACATAGTTACCTAAAAAACTTTATTTATGTCTAGATATTATTCATAATTCCTGCAGAACACATGACTTGTCTTTCTGTCATGTGATATACCCAAATTATAAATATATAAGGCACATATTTTCATATAGTAACATCACAGGATTATCTCTGTAGTCGTCCTATCTTGCAAAAGTCATCTGTCTTATAAAGAAATTGACTAAGCCTGCAATATTTTTCTGATTTCTATATAAATACCTGATATCATTATGTATCAAGAGATTTTTGTAATGTATATTGAGTGTATATAAAACAGATCCACTTCACTATGACCAAATAATTTCAAAATCTCACGACATTTTCTAGTGCTTTTAGTGAAATAATTGAGAAACAGAATCTTATATTTGATCAAAACAAGTAAACTCATTTAATACAGTTAAACCTGTCTATAAGGCCACCTGTATACAACAAATACCTATATATCTATCTTCAAAGGTAATTGATTTCAGGTCTCAATACATGTATGATAAAGTTCATAGGATTTTAACCTCTATATACAGGTCAACTGACTATAAGGGCAACATATTTCTACTCCACCATGTGACCTTTATAGACAAGTCAGACCATAATTTAATTTGACACTTTAGACTTCTCTGATACCAAAGTAATCCAGTTGTTGAATAATATTCATTATAACTTAGTCACTCATGTAAAATCCTCTTTCTAGCTCTGCAGAATGATTTTGGTTTCCTTACCATTCCACCTTGTTTGACTCCAAAGCCTGTTTTGATGGCAGGTAATCGGTATGCAGGTTCACCATGAGTGTCAAATTCCCCTTCACTGGACTCCGACATATCATCATCACTGGTCTGTAAAAGTGATTAAGGTCATTTAAATTTCAAGATGTATGGCAATATCAACACTCTATCTACCCAGCAGTTGGCAATGTCAGTACTCTATCTCCCTAACAGCTGGCAATGTCATTATCCTCTCTCCCTAAAAGCTTGCAATGTCATTACTCTATCTCCCTAACAGCTGGCAATGTCATTATCCAATCTCCCTAACAGCTTGCAATGTCATTACTATCTCCCTAACAGCTGGCAATGTCATTATCCTATCTCCCTAACAGCTTGCAATGTTATTACTCTATCTCCCTAACAGCTGGCAATGTCATTACCATCTCCCTAACAGCTGGCAGTGTTATTACTCTATCTCCCTAACAGCTGGCAATGTCATTACCCTATCTCCCTAACAGCTTGCAATGTCATTACTCTATCTCCCTTACAGCTGGCAATGTCATTACCTTATCTCCCTAACAGCTGGCAATGTCATTATCCTATCTCCCTAACAGCTGGCAATGTCATTATCCTATCTCCCTAACAGCTGGCAATGTCATTATCCTATCTCCCTAACAGCTGGTAATGTCATTACTCTATCACCCTAAAAGCTGGCAATGTCATTATCCAATCTCCCTAACAGCTTGCAATGTCATTACTATCTCCCTAACAGCTGGCAATGTCATTATCATATCTCCCTAACAGCTGGCAATGTCATTACTATCTCCCTAACAGCTGGCAATGTCAGTACTCTATCTCCCTAACAGCTTGCAATGTCATTACTCTATCTCCCTAACAGCTGGCAATGTCATTATCCAATCTCCCTAACAGCTTGCAATGTCATTACTATCTCCCTAACAGCTGGCAATGTCATTATACAATCTCCCTAACAGCTGGCAATGTCATTACTATCTCCCTAACAGCTGGCAATGTCAGTACTCTATCTCCCTAACAGCTTGCAATGTCATTACTCTATCTCCCTAACAGCTTGCAATGTCATTACTATCTCCCTAACAGCTGGCAATGTCATTATCCAATCTCCCTAACAGCTGGCAATGTCATTACTATCTCCCTAACAGCTGGCAATGTCAGTACTCTATCTCCCTAACAGCTGGCAATGTCATTATCCAATCTCCCTAACACCTGGCAATGTCATTACTCTATCTCCCTAACAGCTGGCAATGTCAGTACTCTATCTCCCTAACAGCTGGCAATGTCATTACTCTATCTCCCTAACAGCTGGCAATGTCAGTACTCTATCTCCCTAACAGCTGGCAATGTCATTATCCAATCTCCCTAACAGCTGGCAATGTCATTACTATCTCCCTAACAGCTGGCAATGTCATTATCTTATCTCCCTAACAGCTTGCAATGTTATTACTCTATCTCCCTAACAGCTGGCAATGTCATTATCCTATCTCTCTAACAGCTGCCAATGTCATTACCCCATCTCCCTTACAGCTGGCAATGTCATTACTATCTCCCAAACAGCTGGCAATGTCATTATCCGATCTCCCTAACAGCTGGCAATGTCATTATACAATCTCCCTAACAGCCTACAATGTCATTACCCTATCTCCCTAACAGCTGGCAATGTCATTACTCTATCTCCCTAACAGCTGGCAATGTCATTATCCTATCTCCCTAACAGCTGGCAATGTCATTATCCTATCTCCCTAACAGCTGGTAATGTCATTACTCTATCACCCTAACAGCTGGCAATGTCATTACTATCTCCCTAACAGCTGGCAATGTCATTACCATCTCCCTAACAGCTGGCAATGTCAGTACTCTATCTCCCTAACAGCATGCAATGTCATTACTCTATCTCCCTAACAGCTGGCAATGTCAGTACTCTATCTCCCTAACAGCTGGCAATGTCATTACTATCTCCCAAACAGCTGGCAATGTCATTATCCGATCTCCCTAACAGCTGGCAATGTCATTACCACCTCCCGAACTGCTGGCAATGTCATTACCATCTCCCTAACAGCTGGCAGTGTTATTACTCTATCTCCCTAACAGCTGGCAATGTCATTACCCTATCTCCCTAACAGCTTGCAATGTCATTACTCTATCTCCCTAACAGCTTGCAATGTCATTACTCTATCTACCTTACAGCTGGCAATGTCATTATCCTATCTCCCTAACAGCTGGCAATGTCATTATCCTATCTCCCTAACAGCTGGCAATGTCATTATCCTATCTCCCTAACAGCTGGTAATGTCATTACTCTATCACCCTAAAAGCTGGCAATGTCATTACCATCTCCCTAACAGCTGGCAATGTCAGTACTCTATCTCCCTAACAGCATGCAATGTCATTACTCTATCTCCCTAACAGCTGGCAATGTCAGTACTCTATCTCCCTAACAGCTGGCAATGTCATTATCCAATCTCCCTAACAGCTTGCAATGTCATTACTATCTCCCTAACAGCTGGCAATGTCATTATCCTATCTCCCTAACAGCTTGCAATGTTATTACTCTATCTCCCTAACAGCTGGCAATGTCATTACCATCTCCCTAACAGCTGGCAATGTTATTACTCTATCTCCCTAACAGCTGGCAATGTCATTACCCTATCTCCCTAACAGCTTGCAATGTCATTACTCTATCTCCCTTACAGCTGGCAATGTCATTACCTTATCTCCCTAACAGCTGGCAATGTCATTATCCTATCTCCCTAACAGCTGGCAATGTCATTACTCTATCTCCCTAACAGCTGGCAATGTCATTATCCTATCTCCCTAACAGCTGGCAATGTCATTACCCTATCTCCCTAACAGCTGGCAATGTTATTACCCTATCTCCCTAACAGCTTGCAATGTCATTACTCTATCTCCCTTACAGCTGGCAATGTCATTACCCTATCTCCCTAACAGCTGGCAATGTCATTATCCTATCTCCCTAACAGCTGGCAATGTCATTACCCTATCTCCCTAACAGCTGGCAATGTCATTACCCTATCTCCCTAACAGCTGGCAATGTCATTACCCTATCTCCATAACAGCTGGCAATGTCAGTACTCTATCTATCCAGCTGTTTGTTTGTGCCTGGTAATTAGCTCACCCATATCTTTTGCTGTTCATTGGAACTAAAAACAATTTTATCACATTTTCTCCTGACAAATTGCACATGATATGGAGCAGTTTTCACTGCATGAAATAAAAGACTCCTGCATTTTATGTTTACCTGTATTGGGATTTTACACACCACACCTCCTGCGATCTCAGTTTTGAAGCCCCGGTCGGACACACCATCCTGGTGCCATTCATTAACCCTCTCTGCAGAACTATCCATTGATGTAGGAACCTGTCAAGTTTTCAAATTGTAAACTACTTTAGAAAACATAATATGAAACCATGTGGTATGACACACTATTTACCCCATCGACCAGAAATATCCACACTCCCATTGAGGATAAGATTGAAATATCTTACCCTGGCAAAACAGCTTGCTTACACAGAAAGTGACATTTCAGGGGCATGTAATTGTTAATGAAGTCATTTTTATGATGTGTCAGGGTCAGTTGGGGTCATTGGTGTCATTAACAATTGTCATCTTGGTCTCAAATGCAAACAGTAAAAATTCAGAAATGAAAAAGCTAAGAGATGAAAAAGGGGAAATAACTCTGACAAAAAAGTTTGAATCAAACTGTTCCCTCATAAATTTCAAATGCCTTTCATGAATCCTGAGAGAGAAAATATGATGAAATAATATGTACTTAAAAAATAAAAGGGGTAGTAAGAGATTAAGGGATAATTAATTAAAAGAATGAAAACGCCCATGTTATTGTCATTATGCTCACCAAATTTAAAGGAATCAGTCAAAAACTAAACTAGAAGACACAACAGAATATTGAAGGAAGGACAGACAACACCACACTATATTCAGCCCCATCAAATTTTGATGGCACTGTATTCAACACTAAACACTAATAGATAAACAGGAAAAATAGTGTTCAATGTTTTGTTGTAAAGAATGCCTACCGTAATTCTGCTGGCATCGTTTAGAGCCTCTATCCATTTCCTCATATCACTGCTGTCATCTGCCTGAAGAAACATCATCTTCCCCGCAAAATTCACCACTGTAAATGGAACATACAAGTAAATATAAACATTAACCATCATTTTTCATGCAAAATTCACCACGTTGAAGTAAAATGTTAAATCTAAAAGTTGAAGTTTTACTTCTGATCAGTGACTTGATTGGGTTGTGTTAACAGTAAGAAATGTTAAATTCATACTGATAACTTGCAACTTGAAATTTACTAAAAAATATAGATGTAAAACTAATTTCACTTACCAAAACAGCTGTCTACTTTGGGTCTTTGTTTTCGTGCATCACTAACCTAAAGAAGGTAAAGTTTTCTTGTCATTAAAAAAAATCATATTCTTACATTACAGCATAAGGTAAATGTACTTGTCATTTCCAGGTGTGATATTACAGAAAAAGTGTTTGGCAAAAATTATCTTGAAAAACTTTTATAAAATGCACCACATTGCAAATTAGCAATACCATTCAGCTTTAAAAGAACAAATAATTTTGGTGAATTAAAATAATTAAGAGAGATTTAAAAGATACAGTGTTACTATAAATCATAACCAGAATTTGACAAACAAACTGTATGTACCAGGGGACATAACTCTCACAATATTATTTCATTTGCAAGATCTTTGTACAGTGTCTATTTATGAGATTAAAAAGGTGAAAAGGTGTCACATTTCACTAATTTCTTTCCAAATTTCAGAAAACATCTTACAGACATTTTCAATGTTAATTGTTAAGCCTTATTCATGTGACTGAAAGGGCTAGTCCAAAGTTGTATCTGTACATTCAGTATTCCCTGTAGAAATCATTTTGCAGAGATTCAAAAGATTATGGTCAATCAAAAGTCAAAAAGACAAAACACTTTTTGCTTTTTGTTTTTTCTTTTTTTATAATGTCTAAAAAAATTTTATGATTTTATATAAAAAGCCTTATAATATTGACCACTTCAATTGAATTGACCAACAACTTTTCCCCAAAAAAATGACCACTGTAATATTTTTACCTTTGAGATGAACTGTAAAGAAATTTCATCTACTGGTGTTCTGTTGTTGTGGGGAAGATTCTGTGATAAAAAAGATGAATTTCATTAAACAACGATCACAGATTTTATGATGGATATGTTATAAATGGGAACAGTGACAATCAAATGGTAAAGTTACATTATAATTTATATTCTTCCAAAGTATATTGTGGGGTGTATTTGAATGGCTGTAACTAACATACACCTGGAGATTATTTAATCATACAATATTTCATACACAATCTACACTTAAAAAATTTATGGTGTGAGGCATTGGAGCATGATATCATAATTCTATGTACAATTCTTTAGCAATTTGTTTTCATATTTTCATATGATATTTGAGTTTTTAATTTTTTTTTTTTGCCTGCCACTGAATTGGTTATCAATGTACACCAACTCATTATTAAATTAATAAAAGTGAGTGCAACGACCTGGGTGTGTCAGGTCATGACTAGTCTGTAATCAAAATGTCAAATTATTCCAGACATACTGTAACTAAAGTGTGACGGAGATATTAAAAAATCCATCAAGAAGTAAGTGTGAGAGATTAAACATTATAACTTATTTACTGAATTCATTTTGTTTATATATATATACATGTATATATGTGTGTAATGTATCATAATTCCTCAAAAACAAGTGAGGACCTCGTCAATTCAGTTTTTTAAACAAAAATTGAAGTGCTGAGGCCGTGCATGACTTATCGAAATAAAGGAACAAACCAAGTGGTTATGAGAATATAACTTTATGAAGCGTTAAACAATCCATCTTCCAACTGGATATTACCAGGAAGAAGCATTTCCTAAATGTGACAAGTATCATTATGACTGATGAGACTATAAACTTGCATTTATGACAAAATTTGGGTGAGACTTAAATTTCAAAATTAAAATGTTGAAACATTGGTTGATTTAAGCTATCACCAAAATGAACAGTGACTAAGGTATGTTCAAGTTGAACAAGTTCAGATACAGATGATATGTTATGCAAATGCCAGGTGGGCTAAACATCAGATTCTAGAGAGATATTTGTAACACAATTTAGCAATTTTCTTTTCTTTGAAATTGGTTCCAAAATTATCTTAGGATCAATGTGCACACATCTAGGGACATAGAAAAAAATACATATCATACAAAGAAACTTGAGAATTATATATCCTGTCATTCTCAAAGCAAAAAGTTTAAAGAATTCAAACAATTTATAACAGTCAAAGTCCATGAAGGGTGCCTGTTAGCTAGTATTTACGAAAAGTAAATTCCATATCAAAATGATGTTTTAATCTGTCTAAAAATACATGTTGCATAACGACAAAAATCTGGAATGTAAGAATTTCAATCAATTCAGAAATTCTAAAGAAGTTCCAACAAGTTGAAACTGCTGAAAACCATATTTACATGTTTATTATGTCATCATTCTACCCTCCATAATAATGCTTCAGAAATCAATGTATGTATAAGTAATCAACAGTCACTGAGGGCAGAGATTCTACACTACGGCAGCTTACAGAAATCCCTATCACAGATTTCAAGATATGGACAATATAACAACAAAACAGAAACTGTTGATAGTAGTAAATCTTATCAAATTTGATGTCTTTCTATGTCTTAAAAAGTAGTATAATATAGTCTAAATAAGTACCTAAAAACCAACATAATATGCAAAGTTTTTTTTTCGAGAAAATAAATGTCCAAAGTTGGGGGTGCGCACATTACATAGCTATAGGATTTTCAAGTTTTTTTTTCATGGAAAAATTGAAGATTCTGTGAGGCTGCCTTCATTGTTTGTAAGGATTAACTGGTACTAGAAACTGACACAAAAAGAATTGGACAATCTATTTATGAAGAAAAATAAGAAATAAGATAATTACTGTATATATTAATACAAACTATCTGCGTGAATATCATGCAAAACCTGGAAGAAGTATAAGATGACTAGATAGACAGAAAACTAATGATCAGTAAAGACAGTGGCCTGTTTGTTACCCAAAAGATATACTCAAATCATCTTACCAATGGATTGTCCATGAAGTACTGAAACTTTCCTTCTTTGGTATTAAGTATAAAATATCTTCGGCTAAAACGCCCACTATTCTCTTTTTCCTCCACATTGAGGAATCCACACAAGCGCCCGCGCTTGTCCATATAAGGCATGGTGCAGGATTCTAGGAGAAAGTTCGATAAATTTTTTAGGCACTAGACATCACTGACTTCCTTTCTAGAATTGAAGACCAGCCTGGACACTATACTTCCTTATTATAGCGTTTTGATCCCACCGTCCTGATGATGTATCTTGTTTATCTGGAAAGAGGAAATATGTACATCACAATCAATTTTGAATGGTCCACATTTATTGCCTATTACAGAATGAGCATGTTTACAATAAGCAACTGTTTAGAATAGATTAATGATAAAATGTACAACCTAGGGCAAAAATTTCCTTGTTTTTGTTAAAACTTATGACAAACTGTTTGTTCTATATGTCCATTTATCACTTGTAGTGTGACCTGTCACCTTGAACTTTACCTGAATATCCAAACAGAGCAACTACTTCCAATCTAAAGTACTTTTAAGCAACAAGTGTTCAAACTAGCCCATGTCTAAATATTTTCTACTGTAATTTTGTTAAGTCTAAACCTGTCTCTAGATGCTCTCTATATATCAAATCGTCTGTAATCCATATACCTGGTAACACAAGGAAGACGTCCAGGGGCATTCTTGTTTGCAGACAATAGTTATGGTTCATTAAGTATGAAGTCATGGTTAGATCTTTTTGTGTTAATAGTTCTAACTATCTCCTCTACCATTCATTTCAGCTCTTTAAGATCAAAACATAATAATTTCTCTTATTTCAGGCACAAAGTCTTAAGTATGAAGAAATAACTGCCAGGTATGCTGTATCCTACATTTACAATTTTAGCAAATTAAGTACACTACATACAACAGCTGACAATGACGTTACATCAGCAGTTCAGCTTTGTTATGTAATAAACCTTTAATGGTCTGTAACAACAAAGGTACAATTGTATAAATATCCTGAGTAAAAGTTACACTGTCATAAGAAATATCTAAAGTACAGGTATCAGTTACATTTAATTTTTCCAAATTGCTTTAGGATATAGTTTTGTGGCTTTACATATGAGAATGTGACCAGAATCTGTGATTAAAAAGTAGTCCTGTCTCCAGTGCCATAGACAAAAGAAAAATTGACGTCGACCATATACTGTTAATGCTTCTACTTAATATTGTCTAATTGCATAAATTTCTTCAATTTGATTCAATCACCTACTTTATATGGTTATATGTCAGACAGACAATGTTATATAATTACATGATTTTGATTATGACATTACTTTGTGCCAAAAATCATGTAAAGGTACATGTAGATCACAAGAGAGAAAAAATATTGCACAGGTAATGTATGAGATTACCCTAACATGTGCACAAGATATTTACTCAAGTTACATCTGTTTTTTTATTCATCACCACTTCTTATTACAGTAAATCACTAAGATTTTGTGAATACTTTATTTTGCAAATTCATCAATGCAGACATATTGGCAAATACATATCACTAACGCTGATCTAAAACTGGTGACTTTGAATTTCCAAAGAACAAACTATTAGAGACTAGGATTGAGAAAATCTCCTATATCTGCAACCAATAGCTTCATATTGGCCTCCATTTTGCTTACGATACCCATGTGACTATACCTGAAAAGTGATTCAGCCATGTGATACATGTTATGTCTATAATGAATTGTGTCATTATTGGAGTACAAGCTAGGATATAGACAAAAGAAACAAACACGAATGATCCACATGCTTTAATGTTTGGAAAGTGAGATGAGTGGTTTTCAGGAAAAATTGACAGGACTTCAATCTGCCAGATGTCATTGTGCAATGTTTAGCGTTTCAAGCATGTTTACACTAATCATACAGTAGTCATGCCTGCAGTAACATCTTTGTTATTGTAAATATTTTAGCACCTTCCCTTAAAAAAAAACAGCATAAGGGAGTAATATATGGCTAAAAGATTTGTTTGTGATAATATGATAAGGTATATATAAAAATATACAGGGAATATTTGTAAAAGTAAGTTAACGGTGGAATAACAAGGATGTCATCAAGTGTTTTGTACAAATAAATGCGAGAGACAAAATATAGGTGATTAACAGTGTACTGTGACCGATGCCTTAACAACAATTACATGTTACTTGTTTCTGTTTTCATTAGCTAAATCCAGATGGATTTAATTTTCATGGGTCTAAAACCAGTAACAAATATTGTATTGTCAATTCTTTTCAGAGGAATGATATTTTTTGCTATATTGAAGTACATTAATTTGATCATGAAAAGTTAATTCATGAAATAATGCGATGTAAGTGTATAAGACGTCCTTTTACATCCAGATCGCAAAACTTTAATTTTTTAAATATTTAATGCATATTTATGATGGTTTTAAAAGAAAATTGGGAAAATTTTGACTTGTGATAATGACCAGCTATACCGTATTAGTATTTCCAAATATTCACACAAGATAAGATAGCAGAACATGTACAGCTGTTCCACATTTGTTATCAATTTTAAGTCAGATTTGATCCTTGACACAGCTACCAGTGCATAACATATATTTTTATACACCTGTCGAATCATGTGAGCAGGCAGGTGGGTAGACGGGTGGGCATACATGGTATCCACTTGATAACTTGAATATTTTTCAACAGGTAATCTTCAAACATCATAGGGAGGTTTATTACCATGACTGCTTGGACCAATTTGATGACTGCAATTTTCATACCAAAATTTACAGAGTAATAGCCCTTTATTTAATTACAAAACAGTGTCTCCTTAATATCGCAAGTAGTTTTAAAGATCAACTTCAAATTTAATAAAGAGGTTCAATACCTATATAGCTCAGACAAGCTTGATCACTAATTTTCTGACTGCTATTAATGGAGTTATGGCCCTTACTCAATAACCAAAACAGTGTTTACTCGACATCGCAAATGGTTTTCAAACTTAATGCAAAGGTTTTTCAGACAAAATATTCTGCAGTTGTATAGCTTTTTATTCAATTTCAGAAACAGTGTCCACTCAATACCTCAATTAGCTTTCGAAACATCACCTTCAAAACTTGATAGTAAGGTTCATTACACTGACCACTTGAACATTTTACGACAGCATTATTTCGTCAGTAATTCACAAAGTTATGGCCCTTTATTCAATTGTTAAAACAGTATCAATATCTTGATTAGTTTTCTATACTTTACATTCAAACTCCATAGGTAGGTTCATTACCATTATAGTGAGGACAAGTTAGATAACACATTCAAAGAGTTATGGCCCTTTATTTCAATTATCTAAACAGTTAGTTCCCAATGGAAACACTTAAAACTTATACTGATTACTCTTGTTGGCCCGGATGTAAGCACAAGGGGTCTTATTGTGGGAGGAAACCAGAGTACACGGGGAAAACCCACGTGGTCGGGCAGGTGACCCCTTACATTTTCACATTTCTACATTATTTACAATGTATATATCAATAACGAAGAAAAACATCAGATATCTGGATTATGACTCACTTGGTATATAATCAATATAAATTACTGCCCAAAGATCTCAGTACAAGCTCCTGTATATATTTTGATAATACTCAAAAGTGGCTTTGATTTGATCAAACTATAATCTCTAAATAAGAAGCTACATCTCTCCAATTCCTTTAGATGTCTGATCATCTGTAGATTATATCAACATTTTATTTACTTTTAGAAATGTAAACAAAATTCAATGAACCAATACATTAACAGAATAGCTATGTGTCCCACGAGGATCTTATATCACTATACAGGGAGTTATCTCTACAAATATCAACGTTAGCTCTGTACCTGTACTATAATGGCTTTTACTCAATTTCAATTATCAACTTGGCTGGATGTCAAAAATATTTAAATTAAGTATTTGTGTGTACATACATAGAGTTGTCAAGATTGACAGTATCTATGTACATTTATATTTACAACAATGTACAAGAAAATTAAAATAGAGTTTCTGTAACCTCACTTGTTGTATATCTTCAATGAAATAAGAGTTAGAGTTTCAATTTATTGCACATATTTCTGATTGGTTTATCTTAGGGTACTTAAACTGAAAAAATATCCAAGGGGCCGATGCATTTAACGTCCGGGGCTGAGCTCAATACAGGACATTCAAAAAACATGTTGGTTATGCTAGAGAACAGCAGCTTAATCAAGTTATTGATTTAAACACAGTTTATCTGTTTAATCTGACAAATGGAATTAGGTAGAAGTTATCACAACTTGAGACTTTTGAAAATGCTGTCTCTTCTAAGTTATTCCTCGGTTTATATTGTATGCTGCATGTGTTTCTTTACTCTTTACAGCAAGCAACTTTTTCACAGAAAAATTATTGCTATAAGGATTCAATTCCATATGGACTTATGATTTTTGAAGATTTTTGCCATTGCTCTATAGATCACTTATCTGAGTAAATACTCTTTTTCAGGAAAGATGTTCATTTGTATCTTGACAAAATTCAAACTATTCTCTACAGAATTTGATTTTCCTATATGCTTAAATTACTGGTAGTGAAAATTTTACACTAACCATACCCAGTATTAACCAATTTTTTTTTATTTCCCAGGAGAAAACGCTCATATTTATATCTACAAGCCTCAAATATATGCATAAATTTTCTTTTACAAACAAAAAATTTTATCATACATCAAAACTACACAATTTAACTGCTGATAACATAAGCTACTCTTTCACAGGAAGGACAAATTGGATTTTTAAAAACAAATAATGAATTAAAACTTAAGAAGATTTGGTAATAGTAGTGGTTGGATAGTGGGACACCAGATAAATGATGACTAAATAGTGGGACACCAGATTTGTGGTAGCTGGATATTGGGACACCAGATTTGTGGTAGCTGGATAGTGGGACACCAGATTTGTGGTAGCTGGATAGTGGGACACCAGATTTGTGGTAGCTGGATATTGGGACACCAGATTTGTGGTAGCTGGATAGTGGAACACCAGATTTGTGGTAGCTGGATATTGGGACACCAGATTTGTGGTAGCTGGATAGTGGAACACCTGATTTGTGTTAGCTGGATATTGGGACACCAGATTTGTGGTAGCTGGATAGTGGGATACCAGATTTGTGGTAGCTGGATATTGGGACACCAGATTTGTGGTAGCTGGATATTGGGAAACCAGATTTGTGGTAGCTGGATAGTGGGACACCAGATTTGTGGTAGCTGGATAGTGGAACACCTGATTTGTGTTAGCTGGATATTGGGACACCAGATTTGTGGTAGCTGGATATTGGGACACCAGATTTGTGGTAGCTGGATAGTGGGACACCAGATTTGTGGTAGCTGGATAGTGGGACACCAGATTTGTGGTAGCTGGATAGTGGGACACCTGATTTGTGGTAGCTGGATAGTGGAACACCAGATTTGTGGTAGTTGGATAGTGGGACACCAGATTTGTGGTAGCTGGATGGTGGGATACTAGATTTGTGGTAGCTGGATAGTGGGACACCAGATTTGTGATGGCTGGATGGTGGGATACTAGATTTGTGGTAGCTGGATAGTGGGACACCAGAATATTTGTGTTAGCTGGATAGTAGACCACCAGATTTGTGGTAGCTGGATAGTGGGACACCTGATTTGTGGTAGCTGGATAGTGGGACACCAGATTTGTGATGGCTGGATAGTGGGACACCAGAATATTTGTGTTAGCTGGATAGTAGACCACCAGATTTGTGGTAGCTGGATAGTGGGACACCTGATTTGTGGTAGCTGGATAGTGGGACACCAGATTTGTGGTAGCTGGATAGTGGGATACCAGATTTGTGGTAGCTGGATAGTAGGACACCAGATTTGTGGTAGCTGGATAGTAGGACACCAGATTTGTGGTAGCTGGATAGTGGGACACCAGATTTGTGGTAGCTGGATAGTGGGACACCAGATTTGTGGTAGCTGGATAGTGGGACACCAGATTTGTGGTAGCTGGATAGTGGGACACCAGATTTGTGGTAGCTGGATAGTGGGACACCAGATTTGTGGTGGCTGGATGGTGTGGTACTAGATTTGTGGTAGCTGGATAGTGGGACACCAGATTTGTGGTAGCTGGATAGTGGGACACCAGATTTGTGGTAGCTGGATAGTGGGACACCAGATTTGTGGTAGCTGGATAGTGGGACACCAGATTTGTGGTAGCTGGATAGCACCACAACCAAATGAGTGATGGCAGGATAGAGTGACAACCAAATCAGCAGAGACTGGTTACAGATAGACAACCAGATAAGTTGTAATTTGAGTGTACAACAACCAAACCAATCATCAAATTAGTTGATACTAGATAGTTGGACACCCACTTTGGTAGTAGCTGAATAATGTAACAATCAGATCAGTGGTGGCTGACAATTGGGCAACCTGATTAGTGGTGACTAGATAGTGAGACAATCAAATTAGTGGTGCCTGAAAAGTGGGATAACCAGATCATTGCTGGCTGGATAGTGGAACATCAAATTAGTGGTGGCTGGATATATATTAGGACAACATTGAGTTATTAAGGATATGAAATAAACATTAATTTACATCTAGTATGACAGGACTTTCTTGTGAAGCTTGACTTCTTCAACAACAATTCAATTTTAAAGTAACTTACAATGCACACTAAGCATATGTTTACATCTCAGAATGTATCCTTTATCGAGGAATGCTTATAATATGCTAACAGATAGGTCATGCATATAACTCTTGCATGTATAGGTGTTAAAAGTGAGATCATATAATTGATTTATTTTACATGAACATCACCTTAGCAAATGGCACTTCACACCAAATCATGATAAAATCCACAACTAATGATTAATGCACACCAATTACTTTTTAAAAGTATAACACTTATTTCCTCATTTTGGGACTGGCTTGCACTTGGGCCTCTCTGCCATCAACATGCAAAGTTTGACAGAACTGAAAAGTGCATTAAGCCACAAGTACCAAATAACATAAATAAAGGCTTAAATGAACTTAGGTTATCATATAAAAGAAAATCATAAATTTATATTCAATCAGTAACACATTTTTACCATATTTCATATAGTCAATACAGGTCATTTCCAATAGCCATAAATATTTTTCCTTTGTACGTTTTTTTGTAAAGTGAAGAAAAAACTGTCAAAATCATATCTAAATAAATCATGTCTAGACGTTATCAAATTTGCCCTGGTCCTGGCAATACGGCTAGTCTCCTCTAGCTCCACACCAGACCTTATAAATTTTGATGGGCAGATGCTCCACATCTGACATTTACCCGTCAAAATGCCGTACATGCCTCAGTATGGTGATGGAATCAGAGAAAACAGGCTGCTATAAGTGTATCAATAAGGAAGGGAAAAACACACAACTGCATAATTAATCATATGTAAGAAATTTCAATGTGACATGCAAACCATTTTATTTAAAAAAAACTTCTTCCATAGCCCAATTATTTAATTATCATGTGACAATACATGCACTGGTACATGTGGTCACCTTATAGCTAATTTCAAAATGCATTCTGAAGGCAGCCATCATATGGTTGTACATCCAACTTCATAATGCAAGCATGTTTCATATACACATGCAGAGCTCAACATATTATATACCATGTGCAGGGATCATTATCTGTACAATTTGTCTAGACAGTCCTGTGATCTTTCCATATCTCTCGATGTAGATGTGCTGCTTACTGTGTGTGGTTCTGACTACGTGTAGCACATGTACACTCGTCACTATTTTTATAGATTACACAATATATAAATATATGTGATATCAATTTTCACTTAGTAAAATATATGAATTACAGTACTTTTTACAATCAAGCGTTTTCTCATCTAAATGCATGTCTTCCTTATAAAATCATATAAATCGCTTAGCATACCAATGGCATCGGACTTACACAAAGCTGAGATAATTGACAGCAACATATACCGAAGTTCCATATTTGATGTAATATCCAAGATAAAGCGTAATAATCATAAGGAAAAACAACCCGCGTATTTTAAGAATAACATCATATTAACCTTAATTTACCTTCAATACGCACAAAGAGCATGTGCTTCCAGTTTAATGCCCCATCTGTAACTGATCAACCATGAATCAAGGAAGCGCCGGAGTCCTTAACCGCCATATTACTATTTACCGGAAGTTACATCGAGAGGGCCATCTCAAAATAAAATGAAAGAATTCTAGTAAACATTTAAATTACTATAATCATAAAGTTTCTTCCTTTATTGTGCACGGTGATAAAACAATGTAATACGTTGTCATTTTGATATTATTGTATCATTGAACTTGCATTAATTATCAAAATTAATTTATTATTATCCGGACTTGTCATTGCTTACCCGATCATTGTTTATAAAAGACGTGTAATGGCGGTAAGTGTAAAATTTTCCTAGCAATACTTAACGATATTTCCGGTGCATGGCGGTTAGGTTCTATACCAGACTCGTTTATTTCTTCCCATGTTATTGCTCTGACGCTACCTCCGATTTTAATATTGGCTTTGTAGTTGTATAGGAGCTTGATTTTTTTCACAGTACTTGCCCAGCCTATTTTTGAAGAAGTGTTTATTTGGGACTGTTACAATCTGTTTAGGTAGGTTATTCCAAATATGTGCACTTCGTTGTGTGAAATATTTTTTTCCTTTTCTCTGTACCCCTTCAATTTTTTCTATGGATATCATTTTATATGATACCCTATCCGACTGGCATAATCACGAGTGTCCTCACAAGCCCCAAGAACAGGCCTGTGTCTAGGTGTCCGAATGCTCTTCTTAATATGGCAAACATAGAATTAGTTTTGTTTACCTTTTCACATATGTGATCTTCAAAAGATAGCTTATTTTCTGAAAGAACTCCAATATCTTTTTCTTTTTCTGTTATTTGTAATATAACATCATCAAGTGTGTATCAATGTATGATGGACTGTGCTATTTTCTTCAAATTCATGTGTGTACATTTATCTGGATGGAATTTCAATAATTATTTGTTGCTCCATTCTGACATAATGTCCAGGGCTTCTTATAGTTTGCAACTATCTTATGCACTGTATATAAATCTAATGATTTTTGTGTCATTTGCGAATAAGAAGATTTTTAATTTACTGTATCTGGTAGGTAATTTGTAAAGATCACAAACAATATCGGTCAAAGAACTGAGCTTTGAGGAATCCCTGATATTACATCGTCTAGTCTGAATTAATTCCATTGATTGAGACTCTCTGTGTCCTCCCTACTAGCAAACTTTCTATCCAAGATATCATCCCTCTGCTTATTCCATAGGAATGTAGTTTGATTAGAAACCTCTTGTGTGGAACTGTATCAAACACCTTTTGATTGTCCATATAGATACAATCCACAGGGTTTCCATTGTTAAGAACATTGGTCCATTCATCTAGTACCTCTAATAATTGTAGAGTGGTTGACTTTTTTCCTGATATAAATCCAAATTGTTTGTCACTGAAAAGGTTGTTGTTTTTCATGTGATTTATAATGTGATCTCTAATAAGTGATTCCATAGTCTTGCAAATTATTGATATCAGACTCACAGGTCCGTAATTTCCAGCTTGTGTCACTTCTTAAAAATTGCGCTGATTTGAGCCTGTTTCCAGTCATCTGGTATTTTCCGTTCCTTCATTAACTGATTAAATAATAACCTGAATTTTTGTTTACATTTTGAGTCCCACCTTTTTTTATTTTCACCGACCTGGCCTGATATCTTGATAGTAACTTCCAGTTAGAATCAGTGCAGACACGTACAATGGGAAGAAATTATACTTGCTTGAGTATTTGTTGCTATTTGAGTAACTTAAGTGGAGTTTTTGTAGCTGTTTTCTCCGAGAAATTTACAGGAGCTCTGGAAAGTTCATGTTTACTGGATAACCACAATGCTAGTAGAAAATTCCTTATATTTATTTTTATCAGCGTAAATTTCTCTTGTGTAGATCATCTTTCAGGTCAGGTGAATTACATTAAGGTATTGTTTCAAAGCTATAGCTAGCTACATAAAGAGATTCTTATTGCAAACATACTTCCAATAAGCTGCATTTCTCATGTTATGTACGTTGATAGGCCTATACATGAGACATCAGTATTTTTTCCCAAAGATGTCCACTGATACACTTCTGTTGACAAAGGCAAAGTCATTTGCAAGTCAGTTGTGATAATGAGGCTGATTGACTAATGACATCATAAGTGACCTGTCAGTAGTAGCTGACTGTAATGCTAGGACATAGGCATGGATCGGCTGTTTAATTTCATATTTTCAAAAACCAAAAAAGTGACCTTTAAAAAAATCATGGTTGCCACTGTTGTTCTATCTGTTTCATGATCAGATCATAAATTTTCCAACAGCAAAGCTAGTCCATCACTTTAGATTTTATCTGATAAAAATGATAAATGGCTTTTATTCTAATGGTAGATATACTTACAGGTAGTCTGCACACCACAATCAACACATAAAACACATATGTCACCATATTACTTTTACTATCAGGGTCACATATAGATACATACTAATAAACAGCTGATCCAGAATTAAATTTTTAAGGAATTATTTATTTTGTTCAAATAATCATGAAACATAATAACTATATTCATATTGTAGAAATAACTTTGTAACAAATGATATAATTAATAAATGTCCCAAAAAATTTGTATTTTGGTAAATTGAAAAAAAATCTAATTTTTTTAGCTCACTTGGCCCTTTGGGCTTATGCCATAGCGCGGCATCCATCATCCATCCTGCGTCCATCAACTTTTCATATAAACAACTTCTTCTGAAATACTGAAAGGCGTAGAGTTATCATATTTGGCTGGAAGGTTCCTCTGATGAAGCCAAACAAAGTTTGCAAAAAGAAATTACCTTGACCCATATTCAAGGTCACAGAGGTCAAATGTGTTAAAACCTTTAAATGACTTCTTTCAAAATACCGGAAGGCCTAGAATCATTATATTTGGCTGGAAGGTTCCTTTGCTAAAGCCCAACAAAGTTTGCCAAAAGAAATGATCTTGATCCATATTTAAGGTCACAGAGGTCAAATGTGTTAAAACATTTAAATGACTTCTTTCAAAATACCAGAAGGCCTAGGATCATTATATTTGGCTCCAAGGTTCCTTTGATGAAGCCCAACAAAGTTTGCAAAAAGAAATTACTATGACCCATATTCAAGGTCACATAGGTCAAATGTGTTAAAACCTTTAAATGACTTCTACCCAAATACCGGAAGACCAAGAATCATTATGTTAGGCTACTATGTTCCTCTTATGATGTCCTACAAAGTTTGGTAAAAGAAATTACCTTGACCAATCTTTAAGGTCACAGAGGTAAATATGTTTAAACAATTTATGAAATATAGAAAAGCCTAGAATCATTATATTTGGCCAGTATGTTCCTTTTATGAAATCCAAGAAATTTTGCAAAAAAGAAATTACCTTGCCCCATAGTCAAGGTCACGGGTCAAATGTGTTAAACCTTTAAATAACATTTTCTGATGATCCAAAACATCTAGGATAGTGATATTATTCCAAAACAGGTTCTCAATGATGCCTGGTAATATTTGAGAACAGAAATGACCTTGATCCATATTCAAGGTCACAACAGTCAAATGTGTTAAACCTTTGAACAACTTCTGATCAAGCTAAAGACTTAGGATCAGAATATTTGTCCAAAAGGTTCCCTTAATGGTGCCCATCATATTCGGCCATTAAAGGCTCATATACGAATGACTTATTTTGGACTACTAAGGACAGAACCCATATGGAGTAATTTGTCATATTGCTTCAAGCATCTACTGTAGAACATATGCACAGATATTGTACAGTTGGTCATAAAGATCCAGGTGAGCAATACAGGCCCTCTGGGCCTCTTGTTGTTAAACCTGATCATTTTTATTAACAAAATTGTCTTCAAAAAACCATGTTTTTTCTATTTTTTATGGAATGATCATCTATTTTTCAATTTCTATCAAGACATTGACATAAAACCAAACCTCAACAGATTTTTTAGCCCACCATCTAATAGATGGTGGGTTATTCAAATCGCCCTGCGTCCGTCGTCCGTCCGTATGTAAACAATTCTTGTTACCGCTATTTCTAGAAAAAGTACTGGATGGATCTTTCTCAAATTTCATATGCAGTTTCCCCTTGGTCCCTAGTTGTGCATTGTACCTTTTTTGGACTGATTCGAATTAAAGATGACCGACAGGCAGCCATCTTGGATTTTGGAAGTAAAAGTTTGTTACTGCTATTTCTGGAAAAGTACTGGATGGATCTTTCTCAAATTTCATATGCAGTTTCCCCTTGGTCCCTAGTTGTGCATTGTACCTTTTTTGGACTGATTTGAATTCAAGATGGCCGACAGGTGGCCATCTTGGATTTTGGAAGTAAAAGTTTGTTACCGCTATTTCTGAGAAAGTACTGGATGGAATTTCCTCAAATTTCATATGCAGTTTCCCCTTGGTCCCTAGTTGTGCATTGTACCTTTTTTGGACTGATTCGAATTCAAAATGGCCGACAGGTGGCCATCTTGGATTTTGGAAGTAAAAGTTTGTTACCGCAATTTCTGAGAAAGTACTGGATGAATCTTTCTCAAATTTCATATGCAGTTTCCCCTTAGTCCCTAGTTGTGCATTGTGCCTTTTTTGGACTGATTCGAATTCAAGATGGCCGACAGGTGGCCATCTTGGATTTTGAATTTAAAAGTTTATTACTGCTATGTTTCTTGGAAAGTACTGGATGGATCTTTCTCAAATTTCATATGCAGGTTCCCTTTGGTTCCAAGTTGTGCATTATACCTTTTTGGACTGATCTGAAATCAAGGTGGCCCACAGGCAGCCATCTTGGATGTCGACAGTAATACAGCACAAGCATATTGTCCATTATCCACCTGTAACTGACTGCTATCTAATATTACTTTGGGATCTTTTTCAAATGATATTTGCTAATAGGTGCTTAATAAAAATATCTTGTGCCATCATTGAGTACATTCAATGAAGACCAGTTCATGAACATTTACATCACCTGTAACAAACAAACAAAAAATAAACAAATCTTCAAGAACTGAAAACAGATCCTCAAATGGTGGGCGCCAAGATCCCTCTGGTATCTCTTGTTTGAAAATGATATCGCTTATACTGCTGGTACTGTTGTGAACAACACTGCAGTTTAAGTACAGTTCCAGGAAGCTACATTCAGAAAGCCTCATATACCTCTCCATTACCTGTGTTCAGCTCTCAGTTATCATGTAACATAGTCATATAATAATAACTTATCACTCATTTACGCCACTCAATTTCACAAGAGTACACCTAGTTATCATTTCAAAAAATACAAACAGGACCTAACCTCAGACTGTGTGGGTTTTTTAAGTTTTGTTACCGGTTTATTTAGTTCTCTTTAGAATCAGACATGGGCAATGTTACTAAAAAAAAAAAAAAAAAATGCTGTACCATTTTTTTTTTTTTTTTTCAAATTATGACTGTTTATTTTCTGTATAAGTGCCCATAATCATGATTGTTGACAAGTGTCATGAAGTACTTATACTGATATCTGTGTTTATGCTGAGTAACCATCATGTTTCTCTACTCTTACTTAATATACAGATCGTATTTAATTTACCTGGTATCCAAACTTTCCCACCCTTATCCCAAACTATGAAACAGATTAGTGGGTTCTGGAAAGAGTGACATCACAGCAGGGTCCGTCATTTTAAAGGATCACAAAACTTGGTATGTACATCAGTTATGTCAAGCCAATGTGCAGTGTACTACATTGTAGATTCAACTTCAAGGCCTACAACCCCTTATTTACAGAGTTGCTTCCCTTTGCATGAATTTCCTGTACAGCGCATAACTTTATTTGCTTGCTGTCATAGTAAAAGCCCTTGATTACAGAGTTATTGACCTTTGATAAAATTTTGTGTCCAAAGCAGAACTTTGTTTGCATTTGAACTAGGATAGTGGAACCTGGTATATACATTAGTCATAACAAGACTAGTCTTTGCCCCATAAATTTGAATAGCATGATGACATCATCACCGTCCTGACACAAGTATACTCTTCTCAGCACCATCCTTTCCTATTTTGCTCTCCTCAGCCCTAATAGGTGCTTCATTGATGATAGTAATGCACACTGTCAAGTGTCCCTTTTACAAACATGTCCTCTTAAGTCTGGGTCCATAACCCTTTGTTGTAGATCTAGAGTTATTGCCCTTTGTAAAAAATTGGTGTTTGAGGCATAACATTGCTTGCATTTAAACTAGGATATAATAAGCTTGGTTAATATATTCCACACAATTTATAAAATATTCATATACACACATACAAATAACAATTGGTGCTTACAACTGACATATGTATTGATTATTTAACTAGGAAATATGCCTTTACTTTAATATCTCAAGCAGAAGTCTGTATTGGACACAAAAACATACATGTTAAAACAGTATTCTTTCCTCTTCCAAACTTACATTTTAACATATTTTTACAGATATTTGCCATTAAAATGACAAAATACAAAAATCACAGACAGGAACAGCTTATTAATACTTATAATAATAACTAAATCAGTAGGATCGCCTCTTGTAATAGGTTAAGATAATTCTAACAGGATACAAAATGCACAAGCAAAAGAATTCAGTGATGTGTATGTGTTTGTTTTTGGAAGAAATCAGTTACGCTGAATGGGAGTTTACAATTTTGTAAATCATGTTATCTAGAGAGAAAAAACAAGCAAACAGTTTGTTGACTTCTGTTAATGTCAGTGGTGTGGTAAACAATTGGTAACTGCATTAGACTTGACAGTAAAAACAAGATGGAAATAAATGTTGAACATGCACATGTGTTAAATAGTAGGGAAGCAACCTCTTAAAATGCTGATTATGAAATAAACAAATTTTAATATCATAATTAATCTTAATAAATGAGCTCAATTAAAGTGTTAGTAAAATGCATGATCCAATCGACAACCAAAGACAACCAGGACATGGGTTCTCTCTGACTCCGTTAGGTGTTTTTTTTTTTTTTTTATTAAAAGCAGGTATGATAATGTATTGCATCTTGATATCGATGGGAATGCGACAGTATTGTTTCATATATATAACTGTATACATCTCTTTCTTATGGTTCATCTGCTGCTACAACTAGGAAGATTAAGAAAAGTTTTGTTATTCTAAAGACAGAGTATGAAATATACATTAAAGAGCATCGTGTAATCCTTTAGAAAAAAGAAATAAAGTTCATCTTATATATGTGTATATGCACATCCCTTTCTGAGTTATTTGGAAAATAGTCTTCATTAAATACTAGTCATGTTATTGAAGCTGGGAAAGGGCCAGATGAGCTTTCAGCCCTCTGCTAAATATACACCAGAGAGGGTAGAGAGTCATTTTCATCAAATATTTACCTATATAGCCCCTATGGCCTGCCAGCCCATCTCACTATGTACAACCCTGATCATATCAAACAATTGCATTACATAACTATTGTCAATTGCATTTTTATCATGACATGCTGTTTATTTCAAATTATCACCTCTAGTCATGATGTCAGTAACTTCCAACACAACGGGGTACATTAAAGAGGAGAAGGATGAACAGATATTTGAGTATGAAACACAACACTTGGGCTTCACTCCAAAGGCTTTTTGCAATGGAGGTTAGTACATGTATACTGTGCATTGTTGTCTGAAAGAATAGCAAAACACATAGTTGTTTGTGGAAGTTGAACTCAAATCTCTATCATTATTATCTTATACAACTTGCCTACTGATTGTGAGTAAATTAACAATATGAATTTTAAAATATGTTATCAAAAATAAACATGAAATAATGGTGTAATGTGAATGTATATATGTATATCATAGCCAAGTGATTTCTTTTCTTTAGTGTACAATGCAGCCCTTGAATATATCCAAAAAGCTGTTCAGGAAATAGAGATCTTCTTGTCAGAGGAGGTAAGCTGTGAAGACGATTCTGTACAAGTACCTTCATTTTGGAGTTCAGTTCCAAGGGCCTCTGTTGCATTGTTTGAGGAAGTAAAACAATATTGCTTTTAAGTAGTACAATGATGTACTTAAAATAGCATTCAATGTAGCATTGATTCACTTTTTAGTGCATGCTTGCATGAAAAACTATGCATGCAAACTTTCAAATTCAGATCTCACTGTACTGTTTGGGCTGTGATGACATAGTAAGGCATTAGACTTTGCTACCTCCAGTGAAGTTTCGAGGTGCATGATTCGATCTCTACTCTCTGTTCTTGGAAAGCTGAGAACAAAGATCGTCTTTGCTATAATGGTTGTTTATTGTATTTTGTACTCAAAGTGACCCCTTTCATAGCTCATTACAGCCAGTAAACAAACAAATCAATTGTGTGGTATTAATAAACAAAGGAATGTTTGATATTACAGTATAGTAAGGTGATGAAGCCTACCCAGATCAAAGAAGCTTGTGAAGTGATCCTCTCCACCATGGTCAGCAAGTTGGACAAAAACTTTGACATCATAGAGGTAATTTAGCATTTCAGATTTTTACAAGAATCTTGGAAGAGATGGAAAATAAAATCAAGTTGATACCAAAACCCTTAGCTTCAAAAATCAAATGACAGGATATGAAATTTAGGGTTAATCTTGTTGCCTAGATACGAAATATATTAATAAAAAGGTGAAACACAAAAAATAAAATTAAATGACTTATGATTTTTTTTTATGGTCTTATTTGTGGTGCTCATCATTGGCACAATCATTTCAAATCTATGCTTTCCCATAGAAGTGGTATAGTGTCTTGTTATAGTGCACATTTACCGGGGTATTTGTATCTAAGAAAGTACTGATTGTCTTGTACTGATATCAGGTCTTGTGCCCCACTAGATTTGTGGATATGGCGTAATAAGAAACAGTGTGTTGATAGGACAATGAATCATTTAGGACAGGCATACAGGTGAACATTCTACTTGCAAAGTATCTTAATTAACTTATTTTGTTAGACTTACTTGACGAAGAATGTGCTGACCATACCAGGCAATGTGTTACTGCCAGAAGACGAGGCACAGGCAGGGGACACCTACACACCAGAACAGGAAGATATGCTTGATACTGAGATACAGGAGCTGAAGGACAAAGTTCTGGCAGTAGGTATCAACAAGGACACTATTTCTGTATTTATTGAAAAAAGAGTGTGTCTAAGATAACCATTTAAATTCTGAAAATTGACATTCTGTTATCACTATTTCTTTAGAAGATCTTTATTTATTCACAGAGGAAGATGACTAGTATACATATAGACATCCTCACCAATATAACCATTTAACTGAAGATCACTTTTATAATTACAATATTAATGACTTAATTGAAACCTTCTGTCTATATGAAAAACCTGAACAGTTATTCCTAGAACCTATGAGTATCCACAGCATTTACGGAAATTTTTAATCTACTTCATAAACTATCTCCTAAAAATTTCACAAGAACTGTAAAACTTACGTCAGGATAAGAATTGTTATGCATGTCCATTATTACGTCACAATTATCTTTATAACCGCAAAGTTATACTTTATACGTCTTTATGTTCTGAAAATTTATCCTGATGACGGCAACATAGCGGTCGAAACATGTTGACAAATTAGTCCATAAATAAAACTACAGCAAGTGTTCCTGGATGTTGAGAATCCTTTATTTTAGCTTTATGTTGACCACATTGTAAGGAACTCTACAGAATACCTCTGGTATCCATTCAGGAACCTAGCCGCAATCTTAGACGTATAGTGTGTTGGTTCTTCAATATTGTTTTCTCTATTTCTGTAGAAGTACCAAATGGATTTTTTTCAAATTTTGTATGCAAGTTCCTCTCTGTCCTTAGTTGTGCATAACTGTATTTTGGAATCCAGACAATGGGTTCATCAATAAATTTACCAAATGAAATTCAACACCCTTTTGCACCTGCAGTACATATATACCGTGTCATTGCCAATTCCCTTAGAAATAAAAATGTTACATGACACTGACAATTGATCATGTTTGTGAAACTTGAATACCTCCGAAATATTATAGCCCTGTTTTATGTTCTTATAGTTGAAGTATGCTAACAGTAAGTTGAAGCAGGAAATGAGCCTTATTGATCATGTCCAGGCTCGCTTTGACATGGCACAACAACAGCTCCAGAAGTTGAATGACATTAACTCGGAGTCCGGAGGTTTGTACTGCATTGTTAGAAGACAGATATGTAACAGGTCTTAAACAATGTGTCTTTGATTTAACAATATTACACATAATTGGGAATAGGACAACCTTAAAACATGTATCAGGAATTCCTATCATTTTAATGCTCGGCCAAGAAAAAGCTTGAATACTCTACAACTTAAATTATGACAATATGATATCCTTATCTAAGTTTTGAGTACTATTTTCCATGGATTTTGAGAATTAGCAATTATTTCTTCAACTGTATTTGAGGCTACTGTTATAATTTACTAAGAAATATTATCCAGTGGGATAACATACTGATAGATAGTCTGATGTTCCACTTCAGAGTGTGAAAAACAAACAGTGAGTCATTACAATTCCTATCAGAATATTTGTTTTACTAAATAAAATGTGATTTTTCTTCATCTTCTCAGTTCCAGAAGTGAAGGACAGCTTGATGTTTACATCACAAAAGGTTTTGGAATTAGTGTCCAAGGTCAAGGCCATGCAGGTCAAGGATAAGGCCGCTACCTCGGAAACAGATTCTATAGACTTGTAGTCAAAACATTATGAGAAATGCTGTCAAAAGTCTGTGTTGTATTTCAATGTCCACACTGATTTCCCTATAAAACCTTGTATCATATTTTTGTAATTTTGTGCAATAGATTTATATTTTTTCATACTTCACAATTGTGTGCCTTGTTTTTTTATTATTATTATTATTTCTCTCTCTTTACTTAACTGTTAGCGACATGTTTACGTCATTTGATCAAATATTTTTTTTATAAGCATGCATTAGTTTGGATTTTAAACATTATTGGCAGTTGTGAATGTATCCAACTAATTCTAAAAATGTTCCTATACCAAGGATATGTCCTTCCCTAACAACAGGTATTTCACTTAAGATATACCTTTAAATTATGACACAAGCCATTTGGGTTTTTTTAATTCCCAATGGCTTATTGATCCAGATTCTTCTGTTATTGAAAATATCATTTCTTGGTAGAACTGACAAAATATTTCATTGGTTGGAAAATTCATTCCTGAAATGTTACATTTGGACCAAATAAATCAGTTTGTCAATATAAAACATGTAGCCCAATTTTATACCACCAAAGGTCAGGGAGCAGATATACATGGCACAGTGTCAGAGTTGTTATTTGGGACTAAACGTGTATGTATGAGAGGTTGATATTTGATACTTGGCTATTTAGCTGCAAGAGGAAGTATGTGTACTACCAATTCTCCTTAAATAAGTTTTAGAGTCACAAATGTCATAGGTCACAAAGTATTGCAATGCATTATCATTTTTGTGATACACTATCAGCTATGCAAACATTTTTAAGAAGGCACCATAGCTCAGTCGGTAAGAGAGTTGGCCTATATAACTTCAGAAGATCTGAGGTATGTTGTGCGATGCTCCCTACCCATGACACTTTGCTTTTTCACAGGAAGTTGAGAAACACTCTTGTACATGCCGTAGTGATTTTGACCTTGAGGTCAGAAGACACATTACCATTATTGCTGTGGTGGATCTCCCATCTATTGTTCAGTACAGTTGTTAAGCTACTACAAGGAGACCCTGACACAAAGTCACCCTGGCTGTTCACTAAGCAATAAACACATCAAACCACTCTAAAGTTTAACTTCAGCAGTTATCACAATTATGAAATAACAGTTACATAACAAGAAATTATAAGGAGATGTATAATTTTTATTATATGGTCAATAAATTTGATATGAAGTAGAAACATCACATTTTGGTAGACTACATTACACATGCCATCAATGCTGATTTAGTAAAAGAAAGCAGTAGTGAAGATGATTTTGATTACAACCATTCCAAAAACTGATCTTTTATAATACATAATTCATGAAAAAAAAACTGACAATTACGTAAATTATGTAAAAGCATTTTTGATTTGACTAAATTTTGAAAGCATGTCAAAATATCACTGTAAATGTAAAAACATTGTACAGTCTATTTTCTAATGATACCGATATAAGCCAAACTTCAGCTTGAATAAAGAAAATTTTGGTTACCCGATTAAATTTCTTAAAGTTTAAAATATCACTACAAAAGTACAGTGTAGATGATTTCGAACTCAAATTCTTCAAGTGTCAAAACGTCTTGAAAAATTTTAATATCAATACTTTCGGAAGTAATATTTATAGAAATGTAAAACAAAAACTAAAATATTGGTCAATCTCACAAATATGTACAAAAATAAGTTGTACTGGTATATAAGTCTTGCATTAAATCAGAAGATGTGTCCCTTCATATGGTTTCACAAAGTTAAGAAGGTTCGCATTCCAAATCCGAGACTAGTCTATCAGAAATGATGTTCTAATAGTGTCATTTTTCATTGTTGGTCAAATTTGATGAGAACTTACTGCAAACTTTTGTGAAACTAGGGTCATTTTTTAAGATAAAGTTTAAATCCAAATGCATTGTATTATAAGCTGCAATTCCATACAAGATTTGATAAAATATCACCGTTGTTGATTGTACAGAACACCAGCTATTATTTCTAAGATATTAACTCTGGCGGACTACAAAAGTTCCTACATTCTCTACAGTAATTATTTTGCAATTACCAATGGTACAATATTGCTGGCATATCACAAGGAATTGAGACAGCATTTGTTTGTATTTCAAGTGAAAAAGCTTATTACCAGCATGGGTTTATATCCAGATAAAAACAGTACATATTACTAAGTATCCATTTTTATCAATGGTAATGGTATTCTTCAAGGCTTGTTCACAATAGAGAAAGGAATTCATTGATCTTCAGGTAATTTTCTGATCCCTGTCGTAATTATATAAAGCCAGTTTGCTGAGAAAATGTATGTTATTCTCTGGTCATAGACTCCTTTGACCAGGTTATTCAGTGTTGTTCTGGTGATAGTGCTCACAATGTTTTTAGATCTGACAAAGCTGTGATAGCAGCCAGTCTTCCAGCTGATCCCATCACACCACCACCTGCAACACAGATCAAAGCTGATTTTTTAACTGAATTAAAAAAACCAATAGACTTTTCTACAAAATCTGGAAATATTAAAGTGAGTGAGAACAGGAGACTTACTTTAGACATACTTAGTGACAAATAGTGAACAGACTCTGCAAGGCAGACTAGAATAAACTCTTCAGGGTGAATGATTCCATTCTATCCAAGCCAACCTCACTTATTATTTTCTAGTATAGAATATGATAGGTGAACATGACAAGCCATTATGGTAGAACTATGAAGGTAGAGCACATGTGACTTGGATTATTTCCACAAAGAAAGAAGTCCCTCACGAGATCTGTAGCTGCTGATTTGGGCGATGATATATGACTATGGGAATTACCTGGATGAGCCCCACTTCCACACAGATAGAGGCCCTCCACAGGAGATCTGTAATTGCTAATTTTGGATATCGGCCGTGACATGTACAACTGATCCAAGCCCATTGTTCCATGGAAGATATTCTATATCAGAAACATAATCAAATGAAAGATAATTCCTTGTTGAAAGAATGCAGGAATTTATGTCTGTTTCTTACCTTAATAAAAAAAAATACATGCTTGACGTCGTGTAAATGTACATATTTAATTAGTACATATTAATTCATTTTAACACACATTTCATACATACATGTATTAGATCAAAATTTGATTAATAATAATTTTAGTTTTTGTATGTCGTTAAGATCCAGTGACTTTTTAGACGGACAAAAAGGTAGACATAAGTTATCACTTGTAAATTATCTGAAAGAAAATATAGCTATCTAGATCAGACGTGATTAACTGATTGGTGATAAGAAACTTGAGAACTTACACCTCCAGTAAGATTGAATGTCTTCTCTAGGTCGGGTGGAGTAAGGATGTCTCGACCTACAACACTGGCCTTGAAACCTGGGGCATACTTTTCTATATCATCAAAGACTGCCAAACAAAAACCATATCAAATCCATATCACAAATTTTTACTTCAACTTCAAAATTAACACAAATTTTTATGAGAAATAGACATCACAATAAATGACCATAAAAACTAAACACCAGATCATATCATTTCTACCCAAAGTTGAGGTGTGGGTGGGGAAAGTTGATAGCTGCATGGCAGGTAATAGAGAAATACTTCAACTTTTACTTTCAGTAATAATTCCAACCCAGCCCCTCCCCCTCAAGAATATCATCAAACCATCATGCGTGGAATAGACTGAGTGGCTAACCTGTATCAGCATATCTGTTTCTCATGTGGTCATCCCATTCCTGGCCTTCTGCCAAGTGGTATGGGGTGTACTGTGTAAAAAGAAGACAAACATGACAACCAGGGGGTGCCATGGTAGGATCCAGGCTCGTTGGGATTACCATCTCAATCATAGGCCTGTCAAAGATATAGGCAACCCTTTTTTTATAAAAAGAAACACAATAGCCTTCAAAACTTATCTCAAACCATATGAATGCTCAATCCTTGATGAACAAATTATTATAATGAGGTTAAAAATCATGAGTTTATACAATTTTACCAAAAACTTTTGAATGGCAATGTATTAAGCCCTTAGGTTAACATCTGACCTTTTATTCAAAGTCAAGGTGTTGGCTTATAGAACAATGGAGTCTTTTTATTAAACAACTTGCATGGGTAATCTTATTACCAAACATGGACTTATTGTAAGCAAAAAATATTGATGTAAATAGAAAACGAATGTAATTCTTCCAGACTTGGTCAGAACATTCAAAATATTTAAACAAATTCAAATCTACTCACTTGCTAGAAAACTTTCCAGCTTGAGCCTCCAGGAAGCCATCATGAATAAGGTCAGAATGCTCACAGTTGAGATGAATTGTTGCCCGATGGTGGGGCATGACCTCATTCTTTTTTATATTTGGGTCAGCGACAAAGTTTGGTAGTTCTTTCACAGCAACTGAAATTCAGTCGGAAAATATTTTTTACATAAACTCATTCTGACAATGCTGCGGCAACTGGAAATTTTCTTCACACAAATTACTGCAAAAGGTTTCACCACTCCAGTAAACTGAAAAAATCTTCATTGCCCGTGTTTTACTGCATCTGTAACCTGATCACTCCCAGTCCATGGTCAAGTTTGCATGGACTTGATTGTTGTCCATGTTAGATGCAATGTTATTCCTCGACACTAAATATGTACATCATTGTTTAAGGTGTTTACTACAGGAATCATTGAGAAGCACAATACCTAATACGTAGATGTGGGTACATATCATCAACTGAAGTGAAAACTTAAGCAGCAATGATCCTACTTTATTGTGACATACATCAAAAATGAATGCAAGCCAAATATTAACAGTTGTGACAGCATTGATAACAGATACGCACCATTGATCTTGGTCACAGGTGAAGTATAGTCAAAGTTTCGGAGTTCCTTCATCATATCCTCTGAGAGATTGCCCTGTGTAGATAAAATTTCCTGATGGCTGATTGCTTTCATGAACTAGAAACTAACCTGACATGAGAGTACTGTTAGACAATCTACAGCTGTTCTGTTATAAATTGTGGAAACAGGTATCTACTGACTAGGGGTGGACTTATTACAAGAAAATTGTTTTTCAATATTTCTTATGAAAACTAAAAATTAATTGAACTGCAATTGATATGTCTTGGCTTATTGTCAGATACATTCCTGTATTTCACAAACTGTTTTTCATCCTTTTTTTCGTCAATGTTTTATTTTTCATAATGAGAGTAAGTAAATGAAATCTTTGATAGAGTCACAAGTTTTGCCTTTTAAGTAAAACATTGACTAAAAATTTGTTCAGTAAAGACTCACCGCTGGTAAAAGATCTAAGAATGTAACTTTTGGTGTAGCATTTGATAAAACAGCCCTAGCTTCAATGGCTGTTCCATCTTGTAAGACCACTCCCTTGACAGAATTATTGTTGGTCACAATTTCTTGAACAGGCTGAAAGGAAAGAAGGGAAACACGATTCACCTCTACACAAAGCACTAAGTATTCACTTCGTTAAATTATGCCTATTTCAGCAATTTATTACATAAAATCGATTTTTAGTGATATTTCTGATAAACAAGTCAAAATCATTCTAAATTACTGCAGAATCATAGATTTTCATGGGGTTCAATTTTCATGGTTTTTCAAAGAAAAAAAACATAAAATTTACATCAAATTTTATGAGCATCTGTTTTCTGTGAATATATATGGCTCAATAAATCTGCTGATACAGTTAACTAATTTGATCAATTCTTAGACATATGAATTTGTGGATTTAAGAGTGTCCAAGAAATCATTGAAAATTATTCCCCTATGACAATAAATTATCTTTCAACTTAAGTTTTTGAAATATAATAGAAACCATTTTACAGACAAATCCAGTATCCATTTATCAACTTTTACTGTATTTGTCTCGTAATAACCCCAGGGAGCCAAGACACAAACACTAACTTCATGTAAGGGGGGCAGGCTAATTGCAGGACAATGTCTCAACATTTGTTACCATTTTTACTTGACTAGACATGGGTGGGCTTATCATCAGGCATGGACTTATTGTCAAGATAAATATAGTTGGTTTTAAATAGGTCAGAATAATCTACATTGTGTTAGTATTGAATGAGGTGTCTGAATTGTAGGCTGTAAATATTTCACATAGCATAAACAAAGTGTTGTGCAACTGATTGAGAATCTGTCAATTCTAACTAGCAAACAACGACTTTTCTGAACTAAGAGAGCCATTCTGTAGTCACTGGTCGAGCCAACTATAAAGACGAGGATCTGTCAGCCAAATGTATGGACAAGGTTATTCATAAACATGTTTTGGAAATGTTTACATACCGAATCGGTGAAGATGCTGGCGCCTCTGTCAACTGCACAGTTAGCAATAGACTGGGACACTGCCCCCATGCCCCCTTTCACAATACCCCATGCCCCCTTTACCCTCTCCAGTTCCCCCATCACATGGTGGAGCAGCACATATCTGAAATGACAAACAGAAACAATTGAAGAAATATTTGACAACAGCATAGCTTGCCTCTTGTTGTATTACAACATTTAGTCAGTAACCAAGGGAGATAATAACATTATTACTTAGATATGATGAAGTTAATTTTGTGGACATTTTGTGTCTGTTGAGAAAGTTGAGAAGATTCAAATTAGCTTTTAATACCAGGTTGAATAATTCTACAACATTTGTCTGAGAAAAGTCTTTATGTTACACAGGCATCCACATGTACATACCATAAGTATGCCCCTTCTCTACAAATTAATCCCCTTCATTTTTGCAAATCAATGTTTTAAAATGTTTTCCAAACTAATACTGAACTTTTGGGGAGGGGGCTTATTTGAGGACAAATATGGTATACATGCTATTTAAATCATTAAAATTATAAAGCAATGTTATTTTCATTTTCCTGTAATACCCACTCATTTATTCTACAATGTTTACCACTTATGGTTTTATCCCTTCCTAATGATTCCAAATTTTCTTGTGTTGGTGAACTTACCCACTTCCTGGTGTCTTTGGACTGATCATGGCTCCTATGACTGAATCTGTTGCCAGTGTGGCTTTTAAAGGCTCAGACTCAAACCATTTGTCCAAAATCTAGGACAAAATTTATAGCATTATGGAGTATTCTTCCTAAGTGTTTCTTTGATTTCACATGAAGATCTCCTTAACAGATTAGAATTCAGGAAATTTTTGTACCTGATTAAATATCACATCTTTTTGTAAGTTTGAGGTAAAATGATGCTAGGAAAAAATATGTAAAATCATATATGTTTTTGGTGCTAAATTTTCATGGTTTTTTTTAAATGCAGTTTACTGGACACTTGAATTTCTTGGATAAATACAGCTTTATAAATCTTCTTATACAGACTTCAACAGCTTGAGGACATATGAATTTGCGATACCCACAAAATCAACATTTGCATATACCCACAAAATCACCATTGGCAGATACCCACAGAATCAACAAAAATAAATCCCCACAAAAATTAAGATTTTACAGTAGGTAACAGATAAATTACATACATGTATACATTAATTTGTTCAATATGTAACAAAAAACTATCACACATCTTTTTATTGGAAATTTGTTCTTCTGATCAAAGCTCAGTAGTAAGATGATATTTTCAATCTATTTGATCAGATTTAAGCAAGTGGTCATAATACCTTTGTAGTTGGAGCTGTCATAAGTTCATAAAAGGCACTGGTGTCTCTGAAACTTCCCAGGGCTTTGACTGTGATGAAAAGAAGTCAAAGATACCATATATATCCTATAATTAGGCCAGTGTCTGCAATTAAGAAATTCTGGCAAAAAATCAAGAATACAGGATAATTATTTGGAGCACTAGACCTATTTTTCAGAAATGAAGAAGATTCAGGTGGTCTTATTGTTGGACCATTAAAGTAATTATCATACAGAGACAATTATTTTGTATTGCACTGTAGATTTCTTTATTGACTCAACACATTGTTTGTTTTGGTTTTAACTACTGTATATATATATGTATATGTGTATTATTTTAATCTTATGTCTTCAATGTCAATGTTTGAGGGTTTTTTCATAAGGTTTTGTTCAAGGAAAAATTGTCCAAATTAAATTACTGTAAACTTATTTATTTTGGCAAAATAAAATTTTAAAGTAATATCAGTTTTGAACAAATCAGGACAATGATAAACTTGCACTTTTGCAATAATTGTTGCACACCAATATTAGAGAATCTGAAATTCATGCAACAATAATTTAGCATAATATCCTTAGCATGATAAAACACTAAAATAAGACTATCCCTAAAATTGGTACATTTACAGTATTCTTTTAAAAAGATATGATCAGAGATCAAGTACATGCAATATACTTATTCAGGTTAGGACAAAAAGGAACACAAACCTCGAAGAAATTGTATTTGTTAGAACATTAAAATACTTATGATGATTTAAAAGCATTTAAAATCCTCAGGACAGATATAGTCAATTAAAGACTTTTTTTAAAGATTTCTTGCAAAAGAGAACCCTGCTTTGAATCAGAAATAAAAATATCACTGTCTTATATCCAGAATTGTCTATAAGACATGTAAGTCACTTAAGTTGCTATTTTCTACACTCATACCTACATTTACTTCAATCCATCCATAAAATTGTTGAATAAATTATGACCTAGGTTAAATGAAATAATTCATACTAGTATTTCAAATCAATATATTGGAAGGACAAAAATGATACTGTATATGCCTTTCATTTAGAACTATCAAATTTAGCACATTTATCACCTTTCTGGTGACTAAACACACTGATGAATTTGTGCATCAGTAATAATTACTTTATATAAAAACAATACAAAAAACTCGCACTTAGCAAATCATACTTTAGCAAAATATGTTCAGCAAGAAATATGATAGATAAGAGTATCACTAAAATATGTATGTGTGCAGTATTTGATAACTATAATATATGAAGAATAATTCTGATGTTTTCGCAGGATCAATCTGCAAACGGAATTTCAATTTGAACATTAAACTTTGAAACACAAATAAACAAATACAAGAATAATAATACAGGTGTACCTACTGGTGTATGACACATGCTAATGTATATGACAATTTTTTGTGTTTTATGTTTACATGCACATATGTAATAACACATCCCATACTAATCTGCACATGTGTATATATATATATGTATATGGTATAATATAATATACCCAACCCCCACCCCCTATAAACAGCCAGGATCAACTGAAGGTGAAGTATCCTGCCTTGTAGTAGCTGATGGCTACTTCACTGAACAACATATGGAAGGCCCTTCACTTGTCATCCACAACAATCAGGGTAAAATGTTCTTTCCATTGACACAATCACAACAGTGCTGACCAGTTCTGTGTCTCAGTTTCCTGAGAAACACAAACTGCCACATGTAGAGAGCAATGAACCATGCACCTGCGATATTCACCTGAAGTTGTGATATTCACCTGAAGTTGTGATATTCAGCAGCTGAACCAGATGCAAATAATGATGTATTCATAACCAAAATGTCAAACCAAAGCTGACACAAATATGAGATCAAACCACCATGCAATACTCAGACAAAATATTACCTGCTGATCCACATTGTACCTCCAGTGACTCCCTACAGAGGAGACATTATATATCATCTGGTCAATAGGTTTTTATTATGTCAATTGAAACCTAATCTTAAAATATTAAATCAAAACTGAAGAATAAATGTTCTTTTGATTTTTCTTTTCTTTTGAGAAATATCTCTCCAAGTTGTGTCAAAGTTATATCCCATTACAGGTGTTTCTAATACATGTCAACATTATATCCCCTTACAGGTGTTTCTGATACATGTCAAAGTTATTTCCCCTTACAGGTGTTTCTACTACATGTCAAAGTTATTTCCCCTTACAGGCGTTTTTACTACATGTCAAAGTTATTTCCCCTTACATACGTTTCTACTACATGCCAAAGTTATTTCCCTTTACAGGCGTTTCTACTACATGTCAAAGTTATTTCCCCTTACAGACGTTTCTACTACATGTCAAAGTTATTTCCCTTTACAGGCATTTCTACTACATGTCAAAGTTATTTCCCCTTACAGGCGTTTCTACTACATGTCAAAGTTATTTCCCCTTACAGGCGTTTCTACTACATGTCAAAGTTATTTCCTTTTACAGGCGTTTCTACTACATGTCAAAGTTATTTCCCCTTACAGACGTTTCTACTACATGTCAAAGTTATTTCCCTTTACAGGCATTTCTACTACATGCCAAAGTTATTTCCCCTTACAGGCATTTCTACTACATGTCAAAGTTATTTCCCCTTACAGGCATTTCTACTACATGTCAAAGTTATTTCCCCTTACAGGCGTTTCTACTACATGTCAAAGTTATTTCCCCTTACAGGCATTTCTACTACATGTCAAAGTTATTTCCCCTTACAGGCGTTTCTACTACATGTCAAAGTTATTTCCCCTTACAGGCATTTCTATTTCAAAGTTATTTCCCCTTACAGGCATTTTTAATACATGTCAAAGTTATTTCCCCTTACAGGCGTTTCTACTACATGTCAAAGTTATTTCCCCTTACAGGCATTTCTACTACATGTCAAAGTTACTCCCCTAACAGGTGTCTCTACTTGGTATCAAAGTTACCTAGTTTTTCAGATGCTTTGACAACAATTTCATCTTTCCAAGCTTATCATTTCAAAACATCTAACATTTAAAGAACCTTTCAAATAATATGTGACAATATCAACTGGCAATTTCATGTTCAACTCTTTCAGAGGTATGAATATACTGAGTAGTTTGTTTGTGGAATACATGACTGCAGTGAACACCTGAAATTACAGGGGCTTGGTTTGGGAACATGGGAAATATTTCACAAAAATTAAGTGTACAAGTTTGTATATATAGATTGGTATGAGACATCTGAACAGTCTTTTTTTCTTTTTTTTTAACATTACTGAAACCAAGCCGCTGTGGCAGAAGATGTTAACTAGTTAACTATAGTAGCTTGACAGAGACAGAGCAGATTTATCAGATTGTCATAAAACATGAATAACAGTTTATATACTTACATGACTTCAGGAGCGTAAAAATAGCAGGAAGACTTTTCACTTGTTTCAGTAATTGAGGTGCCATGACAGTTGGTAGGTGGATTGGAGCAGAATCCATCAACGGCTCAATGGCCGAAACAATATGTTCCAGTTGTTTTTCATATTCAAACCAACTCTAAAAATGTCATAAATGTGTTAAAGAAATATGAAATCTGGACAAAATGCAGAAAGAAAACTAGAATGTGCCAAAAAGACATACATATGATCCAACCTGTTCAATCAACTTTAAAATTTAGAATTACATGGAAAAATAGAAAATGTAGGTCACTGTGACTTGATTATATGACTAGTGTAATACTGGGTAAAAGGAAGTTTAGCTACCTTGGCATCTCTCTGAGAGAACTGTGCTATTGACTCGGCAGTCTTTTTGCTGTCCCTGTGTAGAAGAAGAGACTTAGCTTTTCCATCCCTGCCCCCAGGTGTCAAGAGAGGTGTGTATGAGCTGGGGTCACGCAGATACACCTCAAGGCCATATTTCTGTAGAAGTCATCAAGTTCATGAGAAAAATATAAGTCTGCAATACCTTCCTAATGAAGTTAAAATGCCATTTCTATATCAGTATTAAAATTCCAATTTATTTCTTAGGTTTAATCAAAGTTTCTGTTTTCATGTTAACAATTCAAATATTCTTGATGATTTTTCCTAAGATTTTTTAAATAAACATGTAAATACAATGTAGTACACACAATACCTATAGATTCATTACAAGTCTGTCTTGGTTTTATTAATATTGGTTTTTAAAATAATGTTACTACACAAGATTCATAACAATTTTTTTTTTATTTTTCAAACTTTGGATTTCAAAAATAATATCACTACTCAGGATTTCCAACACAACTGTTTTAATCTATTGCAAACAAATAATGAGTTGAATTTTTATTTCGGGTTTCAATTTTTTGTTTGTGTGTTTTTTTGGGTTTTGTTTTTGCCATATGCTTGAAGCAAGGATTACTTTCTCACATAAGTGATGTAACAGACTTTTGGTTTTCTTTAATAATTTTCAATCTCACTCATATTTTTATTCCATCATCAAAATTACAATAAATAAGACCTCTCCAAAATTATAGTAATTGTACTATGGAATTAAGATCAGAACAACTTCCTGAGAATCTGCCACGTCATACATAAATAAATTCCAGGGGATCAACCCTTTTTTTCCTGAATATCTGTTCCTGACTAACTCAACTTTTTTAATACTTAACAATTTGTCATGTTGATGATATACAGACAGGTAAATTAGTATACCTTCAGTTGCAGATCTTTCATTATTTGTGGTCTCAGAAGACTTAAGACATACGAGGCTCGTGAAAACTTGAAACCTTTGATGAAAATAAAAAAGAGTTTTTATAGTGATGACTAACAGACAACATTAAATAAGAAATAAATCATTTCTATACCTATTTGGCAAAACGCTGAAGCTCGGTAATAAACTGTGCCAATTCCACATCTTTGGCAGTTTAAGCAGAAATGAAAATAAATTCCAATATATCATTGCCTTGTCATATACCCAACAAGGTTGTACTGTCCAATGTGCCTTGTTGGAAAGGTGTCATACTTGACAAAAGTCATACTGGATAGGCATCACAGCAAACTGGTGTCACATAAGACAGGAGTGACATATTGGACAAGTGTCTTCTTGAACATAAGTCACATCAAACAGATCTTACATAAGACAGGTGTCAAATCATACAGGGGTCATACTGTAGGTGTCATATAAGATATCGGTCATAATGGACATGTGTCATATCGAACAGGTGACACATCAGACAGGCATTGTATAACATTGGACAGGTATCACACTGGATAGATGTCATACTGGATAGGTGTCATTAAGTCTCAGTTTAAACCCAAAATTTACCCAGTACTACATGCTGATGAGTGAAATATTTTTACATATTTAATTTTTGAAACCAATTTTTTAGGATCAAGTTGCAACAATTTGAGCACATAATATGTTATTGGAATATAATTTAGCTGCTGTTTTGAGATAGGATCAAAGCAAGTAAATGATCATGGAAAATGTGTTATGTGAAAAGGGAAATTATGGTTAAAACATTTCTTTTAACATATCTTTTTTGTAGTGATGTAAAGGGTCCACAAACCTAAGTAGCAAAAAATCTGTTTTTTGATTTAGGTAAGAAACAGAGTGAAGGTACACTACCTTAATATCACTATACAGGTGTTGTACATACCAGGAATTACCTCCTCTGTCACAGCAGCACCCCCTATTACATGTCTCCTCTCCACAACACATACACTGAGCCCTGCCTCTTGTAAGTAAGCTGCCTGATACACATTCAACACACAGTCATTAGGTAAGAATGTGCCTAAGTGATCTTTTATCTATATATTATCCAGAACAGATATACTTTTACGGATTCTTTTTAGGTATTTGCATATTAGATTCTGTTTATAACGATGATGATTGAGGAATATACCTAAACATAAGAGACTTCTGGTTTGTCTCATACTATCCATATTTTCTAGCTAGCATCATACGGATAATCTTGAGCTCTTGTTTATGGATAATTGAGCCTTCATATATTATCAATTCAATAATTGATACCACTGACACAAAGTATATGAACAAATCCTGTTTTATAAAATGATGTATAAATTCATGATAACTACAAAGTACGATTTACCATTAAAACAAACACTCTGAAAAATCAGAAAGAGACGCTATGCTAGTTTTGCCAGCACCATAGACAGATATATCTGCATATTGATCTTGGTCTAAACTATTAATTCATATACCAGGATATGCATTATTGAAATGAACATGTATAACAATATTTTTCAAACATTAAAATAACATATTTTGAGAACGTTACATTAAAATAAGTCATTTGATACTCACTGACACCAATCCATTGTGTCCTGATGAAAGAGCAAAGTACATATAAATACTTCATGTATGCATACAGTAGTCAGAAAGTCTTTTAACAAGTACCGTGTACCTAATATCTTTAACGCACACTATCACTTCTAAACCATCTTGTCAACTTGAATTGGGAATAATTTTCAAATATATTTAGTTAAATAGAGGGTCTTACAGTACAAAAATTTATGATTTACTGGAGTTTATTCGTATAACAATTGTTTGAAACTAGAAAACATGTACCCTGACTTGCATAAAACTTTACTAATTACTTTTTGGATAACAAATAATTTAAACATAACAAGTCAAAACACTCCGGTTGACCATTGGAAAACATTGCTGACAAAATTTACAAATCTCGCATAAAGAATAATATCCATGCAAAAGTTTGTTTATCACATTCTATACAACAATCATTTTTTAATTATTCTGAAAGGTTCACAGTGATGTTTTAATTAAGTGAATGATTCATTTATTAAATGATCACATCATTTTCATCTGGCAACTACATAATTTACATGTTATCTCTTGAGTTCTACTATAGAACTGCTTTCAAACATTTCCTTTCTTTGTAAACGAATGCTGTAAACTCTCGTTGTATACTTACCGGCTCCAATTATAACAACATCATATTTCGATTTCAGTTCGCATTTGCTTTTAGTGGCAGCGGTGCGGTATGAAAACCCCTTCTGAATGGCACCTTTGGATATTTTACCATAAATTCCCTTTAATTTCCCTCTGAATGCCATGGTGAAGAATATGTATACAAAATCCTACGTGCACCACCCTCATGGACAAATTGCATCTATTGTGACAGTCGCCATTTTCTGGTCATGTGACTAAGTCTTAGGGACTGTATCAAAATGTAGTTTTGATTTTTTTACTTAATGTTTTCTTTATCTATTGATTAAAATCACCTATCAGAAACAAAAACATAACTGAAAAAAAAAATTTAAATATGTTATGCTTACGAACAGTTTTATTCATTGAATAAATCAAAACAAAATAGATCCGGAATTAACAGTAATTTATGCGTTAGGGCCGCTTTATCTTTATTATGTCACAAATCATGTGATACGTCAAACTTCCGGTCAAAGAAAATGGTGGAGAGACGAATTCTTCCGCTAGTGGCAGTTACAGGATTTTGGGCCGTCGTTGGGATAATTTTCCCAATTTTGGCCCAATTTTTCATGAGAGGGTCACCAAATAAAGGGTTTGTATCTTCTTCAATTACTTTGGTATGATGATATTCTTGTTATCATGTTGTGTGAGGACCTGATCTCAAACATATGATCATGACTACATTAACAAGTCATCCGGATACTGTATGACAACAGAGGAATGCCCCAAAGTCATAAAAACGTGTACGTTGATCCTGTGCTTTCCTCGCCATAAAGTTCAAAACTGCAAATCTAAGAGGGTAGCTCGAATTCGTTTGTCCAATTTAAAAGATAAATCTTTTTCGTGCTTTTATGCAATATTTCTGGCATTTGTTCCACGAAGAATTAATTTCAAGGCAGCTTCAAAACCAGTAACAAACTTAAGGTCATTTATAGACACTTTGCTAATTCTGAAGATTTAAATAACAAGCTATTTGTTGCAATTCGTACTTTAAATGCAAAATCCATGTCATTTTAATTTAACATTTGGTGTGCTTAAGTGTACACGTTGTAACACCACAGTATGAACACAAACTGAGATCTGACAGTGACAGACTGTGTTGCTAGAAGACAGGTTATTGTAATATCTTTTCATTTGCAACAACATTACAAGTGAAATTTGCTTTGAAGAATAGAAAAAAGAAGTTAACAATACATAGCCTTTCATTAGACACAGCTACTTTTTCGCCTAAGAACCTTTGACCTACAGTTTGCAACCACAATAAGCTCCAATTACCATTTGAGTAGTGAACAGTATGGAATTAGTTACCTATGATTTCTTAAACGAATGTTAAACATTTTAGTAAACAGATATGTCCACATGTTTTAGATCATGAGATAGTTGGGTCCGTCCAGCAAATTGTTTAGCAATTGCAACTGCACTAAGATCTTGGAAGTACAGAGGGGAAATAAATAACAAGCACTAACAAACTTACTCTTGCTATATTTGAACATGAATTTCGAGACAATCCCATTCTTGACCGACATAATTCTTTGAAGCAAAAAGATGTTCATATGTTTAGCTTAAATGCATATTAATTTATTTAATCATGATCATAAGTCAATACACATCTTGTTCTAACATTTTTGTCTATCACAGAATATTTGCATTTTTAATACATTGGACTGCTAGTTCAACCAGAACAACAAAAATATGGTTTAGTGCCTGACTTCTTATTAACTGTATTTGGAATACCAGTTATGTTTATAATTGTAAGCAATAATGTTTTATCTCTTCACAGTCAGGCAAAGGCTTATTTGGGAACTACTTTTAGTTTTGATTAAAATTTATAATTCTGTAAAGCTGAAAGAGGATTATCTGTTGGAAGTCTCTTTTCAAAATTTGATTATTTTGTTAATAAGTATGGTTTGTACCGATATAACCAGTTTTATTAATTTGATACTTATTGTTTCTTTCTTTTCAGGATTGTCCAGTTGATGTTTATGATGACCGCTGCCTGCTGCTATTTATTGTAAGTGATAAAAAAATCACATAGAATTAATTCATCAGAACTTAATCTTCTGAAAATAATGTATGATTATAAATTAGGTCAGAGAATAAACCAATGCTAATTCAGTGATTACAGCCTTGACTAGTATGGAACTTGGTATTTAGTTTTCTTGATTTTATATAATCCAGTGTCTTTATGAAATGGCAAAATTAACAAATCTTTCATAAAACTGTGGATATTTTTTTCTTTTGAGAAAATTGCTCTATTTTGCAAGCTGTAACTACACACTATAAACGAAGGTAAAACATTGTCACTTCAAGCACAGTAATGAGAAACATATTCATTTTGAGAATTTACAAAAAATGTTAATGCACAAATTTTGTTTCCAGTTGGCTTTGTGCTTTTCTCTTCCAACTGAATCCACTTTTGGGACCTGATCTGGATACTGGCTTGATACGAATAATGATGTATGAATGGGAAACCCAAAAGTGATAAAGGCCAAAAGAAAAATAGGTAAGAAAATTTCAGGTTGAAGTTTCTCATCATTGCTGCATGTTCATATGTGAAAGTAGAAACCAAAGGTGAAGTATATTGTTCTTAAATGAAATGCAAAATTGGGGGCGGGGGGTGGGGGGAAGGGGGTGTGGGAACTATATTTTAAGCATTAATAGTTTGGTCCTGTACATACATATAATGTACATGTACTTGTCGTCTGCTTGGAATATGCATTTCATTAAACAGGCATAATTGTAAGTTAAGTTGGTTTCTAAAGAAAAGATAATTGTGAACATAATACTGTATAGAAATTATTTGAAACATATTTTTGTTATTTCAGTATTTTATCTATCCCAATTTTAAATTTTTCTTTTTTTTTTTTTTTTTTTGTTAAAATACACACTTTTGTAATGAAAGCTCAAAACTTGAAAATAAAAGTTCAGAGATGAAATTAAGTGTCAAATTATATCAAACAGAAAGTAAGAGATATGGTATGGATATGCAAAATTGTTAGAGTTCTAAACAACATTATGTTTGACATATTAAGACTTACTACTTATCTTACAATATTAGTAAATTTAGAATTAAAAACATTGACAGTGTTAAGCGATACTATTATGTATGTAAAGGGCAGTAATTCACTTGAAAATCTAAAAGTATGTTTAGTCTTTGTTCCTATACAGGCTTTTTCTCTTTTACAGAAAACTTGCTAGTCTTTCCAGCAGTATCATTCCTGTGGTCATATTCCCAATGAGGTTAACACTGAAATCCATCAAAAGTGGAAAGTCTTGTACAGTTATAGCAGATACAGGGACAATATTATCACTGGTTTAGCTGTGTATAGACTGTTGTAAACCCATTACTTATTTAGCCAAGATGAGTCATGTGTGATTGTGATATTTTTATTTTTCATTTTAATCCAAGATATAATTGTGGGTAAAATCTTGCTATGGTTCAATGCTTAATCATTATTAATATTACACATTTTTTGTTGTATACTAGCTGGTTAAACAGTCATGTCAAGCCAACTCTTTGGAGAAACACAGACAACTGTTAAAGGATGGGAGGTTTAAAGGGAGATAATTCTTTTGTGTTGAGGTATTTGTTACTGTCTGTATGTGACTGAGGGTGGGATATTTAAAGGGAGATAATTCTTGTGTGTACATGAATATCATGATCAATGCTATTTTGAGTATTATGTGTTGTTGTATTTGTTATTATCCATGTGTGAGAGAGTTAAAACTTAGTGATACTTTGTGAGAACACTGTGATGTCAACATGAAATGGAATAATATAAAAAATATAGCATATGAACACATTGATTTTGTTGTATCAGAGAATTTGTATACAATCAGCCTTTTCTCTTAGGTTCAAAGCTGTTGAACAACTTAGACAACTTTGTTGAAGCAGCTATATTAACAACATCTCTTTTCGACAAAACATTATAGAATTACAAAGATAGATGATTGGGCCAAGTAGCGTTAGGCAAGAATATGACATTCTTCATATGATATCTGTTTTAGAGGATGTTGATTTTGATCTTCAGGATTTCAACCCATGATCATAGGTTTTTCATGATCATAATGGAAGAATGTTTGAATTTGAAGGGAAAAAAGATCAAATTTCTGCCTGATAAATGGTGATTTTGTATATACAGGCACTGGCCACAAAATTATTTTTGCTTTAGGATAGCTGTTATAATTCATATGATATAGCAGTCATCCAATAGGAAAATGTAAAGAGTTGCCAGTACTTGCTATAAAAACGTTCATTTATATAGAGAACATTTACATGTATAGTTACCACAGGGATTACTTGGCGTTATTACTTTTGTTAGAATGGTTGATGTAATAAATGTGTAGAAATAAACAAAAAACTTAATACAAATATGGGTTTAATTTTTGTTTCTTTACTAACATCATGGAATCAATTGCTTATTCAGAGAGTAATAACTTGACTTCCTGAATTAAAAGAATGTCTATGATGGGATGTTGAACGAGAGTGGCAAGTTACTGTATTTTAAACTAGGTATGTTTGTTTAAAGAAGTTTCTGAAGAGAAGGGACAAAAGCCTTTCCAAGCCTATATTGATATCAGCAGACACTTTCCAATTATTTTTGAAATATCACTTGAAATGTTGACGTATACATGTGAAACGAGAAGGGAAATAACTCTGCATGCCTTGATAGCACCAATCGTATATATAAACTGTTTTGACTCAGGATCCTGCTACTGCCCTATCCAATAGTCCAATATTCTGACACGTGTCTATGAAGACGAAACTATTTGTCAGAAAGATGAAACAGAAAACAAAACACTTCGTGGCAGTGGGAGCATAAGAAATTTAAGTTTCCTCTTGCCCAATTATTGAAAGATAAAAAAGAAGTCGGATACGGAAGTATTGATAAACTGTTTACTGGACACTAGTCAATGCCCCATGTGTGTATATGTGTTTTTCAGAAAATATTGGAATCCAGTTATAAGAGTGGAAAGCTAATGTGCAACATTAATTACTTCTTCTTAACACTACTCAAAGGTTGACAAACTGAGCAAACAACAGTTTTCATGACTGTCAAAGTTACGATGTTTCATCGTTTGCCATACCATATGATAGATTGAAACGAAGGGGAGTAACTCTTAAGAGATCAGCATGTCATTAGCCCTCAAACATTGCTGGCAGTACGTAGTTCGTCAACATAGATTATCTTAATCTACTCATTATGTCACATCTGTTAACACTCAGAAAAAAATTGAAAGAACCAACAAAAGCATTCAGCTATACGACTAATTCATTGTCACTTGATTGTTGGTATACATCGCTTTGAGGTTTGCGATGAGATATTACCTAAAGCTATTGTTCGTAATACGTGTAACTTAAGCCTACTTCCGTAATGAGGATAATAAACAATAATATACAACAGATGGCTCGGCGATTTGTTTATTTATCACATAAGCAATTGCTTCACAAACACGAACATTCCAACGATATAATAAATACAACAACAGCAAGTAGAAAAAAAAACAAGTTTCGATTTTAAAGTCGGAGACACTTCAAATAAAGTCGTCTCTTTTCTCCCGCCGTCCAAGACTTTGACTTCGTGCGGAAATGGCGTAGTTCGGCGAGATGAGATTGTGAGCGCATTGGTACATAGGCTGATGGTGTGCACAGCTCCTTTAAAACAAACAGAAATATATGTTTGGATTACTTCTCAACAAATGAAATGTACAATAGAAAGTGAAAACCTAAGTAATGGAAGTTTGTTTTTATATCGAAATAAATGACAGACCGCGACATGAAGTTCATCTATTCTCTACATAGACTGGATTTCATGTCGTTGTTTTTCTACTCTTCGATAGACTTCGCTTCGGAAAAGCACGGACTTGGGAAAAGCAACGAATAGTTTATAGGAGACCATTTGTGTACTAAGGCAAGAAATTCAGCATCCTCGGCCCCAGGTGAAAATCGCACTATCGCTTATCAATTATAATGGACGATTTTTAGCTTGGGCCGAGAATGATAATCCAGACTAATCTCGATCCGGTGTTTCTGTAATTTGGAACAATTTCGTACAGTACTGGAAGTGCAGGGATCAGCCAATTGGAACACCTCGCCTACCAGGCAGTTTCGAAGGACAGGATAAGGAGTTGTTCTGAATTAGACTGGTTCAGAAACGACCAGATACTATTGAAATGTTTTCAAAATCGTAATTCAAATTTTAAACTGTTTTTTTTTAATGGCTGAAGGAGTGAAAGCTTTCTGAAAATGTACACGGCGATTAAGACTAGATGTTCCGGAAAGAATAAAACGGCTTGATTTTATCGACGACATCTGATAAATGAATCTATAGCAATGCCGAGTTCTTCCTCTAATACCCAAGTTAGTAACAAAGACGTAATACCTTGAATGACTGGAAAAATGCTTGGTACCCTCCGTCCAGGAGATAGATTTCTGGGTAGATCAGGCCCGGATACATATCTCTGTTTAATGAGCGGTCCTTCTCTCTAAGAAACCGGTACCTGTGTCAACAAAATAGTAAAATAGATAAAACACCAAGTTTTTAGAAACAGTCACAACTGACATATTTACAAAAATATCATGGTAACATTCCAAAATTTACCAGAATGTCAATAGGGAGACTTAGGAATCGTTATTTAAAATATCGTAAAATAACAAGTCACTTAATCACAAAAAATAATCCTATGTAGAAAAGTATCTTCACTAGCCATGGGTTACGATCCGCGTGGTCATGACATGTAGGTGTTATATCGTATTAGACTCTGATCACCCACGGGGGAGAAAAAACATGTTTGTTTACGCGAGTGCAGTAAACTTAGCAAAACTGTTTATCTATACTCAATGCTATATATATATACACTTTTCTCAAATGTCATATTTAAAATGTTAACACGGTAACTTTCAACCACTTACATAGATGGTGCCCGCACTGAAGAGAATTCGCAGTAAAAGACAAGTTTGTGAGGAGTCATCCCACTTTCTGACCTTGACCCCTCTTCTAGGAGATTAAGGATTTGTTCATGCGTGTACAGATTAACAGCATCCTTAAAAACACAATGGATAACTGACATAAAACTTATGTTTAACCTGCTTTGCAATACGTCTCATTTTGATAAGTTTAATGGAAGTTATATGTCGGATGGTGTAATATAAGGCAGATCATATCAGTTGAGCTCCTTAATAGAATTGTGCAAAAAAGAAAAAAAAATTCTAATTAGTATGTATGGTCGATATTTATTACTCCTCAAGTTCCACTGCGCATTTATATATATAAGGACAATCTATAATTTGCATATATCGAGACTCCTGTCAGCAACACGTTCTTCCATTTCCGGTTACGTACCTGGATGTGTCCGCCATTGTACTCGTATGGATATCGGCAGTCTATGACTTTGATGTGTTCTCTCTTGTTCCCGTTACACAGAGCCTCGAACAGCTGTTGATTTACGTGAAAATATTAATTATGCTGTTCTAGCTGTGAAAGGTTTATAACTATAGGTCACAACTGTGACATTTTCAGGTTGTTAACTGCTGTGTTAAACGATTGTACCATGGGTTTCTTTTATTTTGAATGAAGCTGTTCAGGTATGATTTGTTTTCTCGGATTTTGTGTTACACAATATAATTCATCACCCAAACAATGCCATTTCATTGCGAAATTCAGATAGTGTCCTTACTATCATGTAACCGATAACTGCCTTTTTCTGTATGATATCTTGACTAAGAATCAAACAGTTGAAACATCGAAATAACACGACTCACTGTTTGAGAATTGACACTTTTGATGTCGATGTGTTTCCCCACGACTGTTGGTAGACAGTGTGACGCACTTCCGTCTCCGATCAGACTGTCGTTGTCGGACAACTTATCTACTGCTGTTTGCATGGCGTCACTTCCTGCCTCCATAAAGTCAATGTTAAACTCGGACTGACCCTTCAAATAAGAAAATGATTTTCAAAATTAAGAAGTCTACAACATTTAGATATGGAAAACATATCGATTTTCTTTGGCACATAGTTTAACCACCTACAAGGTACAACAAAAGCAAACACTAAATGAACATCGTTTTGTTGTGACACAGGCGCAGTATTTACAGGTCATCACCTACTGTGTTATATATTTAATGAAGGGAGATAACAACGTAACGATAATATATCAAGACGACAGATATCGGATAACATCGTAACTAACATTTCGGTCAATATTATCAAAGTTCATCCAATTCACCACAACGGACATGCCCGAGTGATTTCCGAATCGAACGGAATCACCTGTTTGGTTCTGGTTCATGCCAAAATCTAGTTTGATGCATATAGATTAAACGCAAATTAGTCAGGAATTATGACCGGATTTAAGTGAGTTTCAATGGCGGAATTAACATGTAGCTGGGAGAGGAGGGGGGGGAGGGGCAAATGTTTGACATGGTTACCATATCAACGTAAAAACGTTTCAAAATAATATTCACGATAATAAAGTCAATCGAATAAGAAATAAAAACGAAGCCATTTCGAAAAAGGGGCTGACCATTCTAATAATATTTACCCCAAAGGACACACTTCGTCTAATGCGAGGTAACGTTTGGCGAGGGCGTGTTGACAGTCTCCCTGTTGATATATCACCCGGTTGACTTTTCCTCGGAGTTAGTAATTCAAGACGGCTACCTACAGGGGTTTCTGTTTCCGCTGCAAGCCATAATGTTGATGGTGACTGCAATATATAAAGCGAAATTTTATAAGAAGTGTTGAGTCATTTTCAAAACACGGAAAGATAAAAAATTATAAGTGGAATCATCAGTTTAATCATTAATTGGACCAGGGACATAGATAACAGACATACGTACCTGATTGGACATATAAAATTATACTGCTGATATGGAAGTAACTCGAAAACTTTACAATATATAATAATACACATGTATATATAAAGTAAAACAATACCGTCACAGAACTCGTATCCGATTCTTCAAGACTGAGATTGCCCAAGTCAGTAGATCCGGGCTCCTCAAGAACCATCTTTACCTGCTTGTCACATTCGTCTTCCTGAAATACATCAGACACTGTCATATACTGTACAAATTATCTTATTTTCGAGATGGTTTATATTTGAGGTAAATGAGAAAACTGTGAGTAATTTATCAATTTATTATACTCCTAAAAATGCAGCTGGACGATTTTATGAAACATTCCATATCTATTGCTGATGAATGTATTCAAAAACTTTACAAATAACTGTTGAGTAAGGAGCACGCATGGCTTCCTCAGTGGACGCTTCATACAATAGCTGTCACCGAGGCCGGCTCCCGAATCGAACATGTACTTAAAGGGAGGGGTGGGATAATTCTCCCGTCTGTTCGACTTACCTGTTCTTGGATATCACAATTCATGAAGTCATGGAGAAGTGATTTACGGACAGACGGGGCCGCCACGTGCTCCGCGTGGTTGGTTAGTCGTGTCCGGCTCTTATTTGACCTCATTGTGACAAATACTTCACAGATGAAAACGAAAAAAAAACATACATCTGCCTTTAATCAGAAATACTTCAATTCTCTGCTTATTATTATGAAAACAAAACGAAACTAAAAATAGCAAGCAATCGAAGCAAACTAAAATAACCAAAAACAAATATCTCTTCCTTACACTCACAAATATGAATAAAATAATTCAATCAAAAAATACAAACGTTTAACAGAGTTTGAGTGAGACTGATTTAGCTGTGTTGTGTAAATACATATATGTTACAGAGAGTAACGAACGACAATTTTTGAGAAAAAAGTGACTGAAGTACAGTATATATATTGTTTAGTTTTTCACATAAAGAAATCCTTTGTTTTTGATGTGATGTATTATTTTCGTCTGCCCCTTTAATCATCTACTTTTTGTTTTTCCTCCGCCGCCTCCTAACCGTTAGATCCCTTGCAGCACTGACGAGAGAAGGACGAAACAGCAGTAAGAACAGTTTAATTCATTGTCTGACTATACCATATCTTACTCTTTACAGTGAAAGGTGCTGTACACTTGTGTCTTTTGTGTAATCCTTAAAGGCAAATACGTAAAATAAGTTGTCAATCTGTCACTAGAACCTGGGTCATGTATTTAACAAAATCATTCACCGTTTTACTACAATCATTTAGACTTTTTCAACTTCATACACGTAAAACATCTAAGAAAATAATTCAATTAGGCAAAACATTTTATCATTCTTTAGACAAAATTATGAGATATGAAATACATTACATTACATACCTTGTATCTATATCCAGGTATCGGGTATAATAAGAAACATACCTGATTATCACTAGCAGTTTATTGCCGACGTCACTCGTTAATTACAGGTTACTCGACATGCCTAGTCCTGCAGCACGCGCGCCAGGCAAGGACTTGCTTTCCAGACTTATAAAAACGTAATTAGCCTTTCATCCAGTGCAAGTGTCATTAGTACTGACCACTTTGGTCAATGGCAGGTAATTCAGGGAAATGTAGTTTGGTCTAAACCTGATGACGTGAACGTGTTGTTTTATCAATAGGGATGTTTGTTCCACTTTTAAATAATTATAATAACACCATAGAAATATTGTATTTTTAATGTATTGATACTGATATATGTACATGTGAATATATGCATTGCCACCAAAAGATGAAGTTAAAACTATATGTACATTATTAATATTTTAAATGAGAATTAATGTTCTTTATTTCTTGGTTTAAGCACTCCGTGAATAACCAAGATTATTTTGTGAAATAGTTTCCTAATTGTAGTAGCCGGTGACTATTTCACTGAACAACAAACGGGAGGCCCGTGACAGATGACATCCAAAGTAATTAGGGTAAAATGTCTTGTCCAAGGATACAGCCACTTCAGCACGGTCAGATTTTCAGTTCCATGAACACTTGACTCGGGTCACATGAGCCAGTGTGCAAACCATCTGTGCGAACGCGGCTCCATATGAAGAATTTATTTCCATCCGAAAAAGTCACAATATGCTAGCAGAACAATCTCTGAAGAAAAGTTGTAAGACTGCTTAAAAACACTACAAGAATAAGAGTACAAGTATAAAGGAATTGTCTTTATATATAAAGGATCTCTAAATTAAACCGTCCACTTTTTTCTTTTTTTCTCTCTCATTTCATCATTTGGGCCAGTTCTTCAGACACACTCCCAACCACTACATACTTTCACGTCTCCTTATTCCCATCCCTCCCCAATCTCCTACCAGTAACCTTCCCAACTCAATGCCAACCAAGTCCAAACCTTCCAAACCCCTAACCCTACCAACTCTCACGACTCCTCAGCCCAACCATAAGTCACACCTCCAGAATCTTTAACTTCCTTACCCCACACCTCCCAAACCCTAATCCTCCCAAACACTAACTCTAAATTTCCTTTCCTCCCCATTCATACCCCTGCCCCTAATCCCCTACCCCGCCTCCCAACACATATCCCTCTCACATCCCGAAACACTACCTTTCCATATTTCCACATCGCCTTTACCCCCTCAGTATATTTCTACCCACCTCTACTCTTCGGGCCCCACTGAATGCTTAATCCTCCCTGCTTCCACAACCACCACCCATAATGTTTCATACCCTGCTACCCTTCACTACGTCAACTTCCCAACCCCCTACCTCCTTCCCTACCCACACACTTTGCCTCCCCCACCCCTTTTCCCTACCATCACACCTTCCTACCCCTTCCCTACCTCACACCTTCCCACCCTCAACCCCCCTCCCCTTCCCTTCCCTCACACCTCGCCACCCTACCCCTATTCCCCTCCATCACACCTCCCCACCCCCACTCCAATCCACGTCTCTGAACCTGTCACAGTTTGCATTGTTTTATTTACGTATTGTATTTCATCATATAAGCACGTCAATGATTATTTTCGTTGATGGTTTAAACACAAACTGATACAGGTTAGAAGTGATCATGCCGTTGAGCAGAACGCTTTAAAATGCGCTATTGGAATTACTAGCAAAAAATAAATGAATTTATTTCTTGATTTATTTTAATTGAATGAATTGTAAGATTCTTTGGTATACTACAACTCCTTCAGGAGTGATCTGAAATATTCTTGTGTGGAAGGAATCAATTCACGGTTCCTTGGGGGAGGAAAGTCGGTACCCAATAATAGAAATAGAGCAAATTCTTTAAAATCCTTCCGCTGTTTTTTTTTTTTTTTTTTTTATTATTTAGTTTTGTCCAGATTTGATCTGAAGACATCATTGCTGAAGAGAACTTAGTACTATACAAACAGTGCATCTAACCCCTTTGGGAGGGGAGCCTAATACAGGGAAACAGATACAAGTGTTTAAAATACTTTAGATACAATACCTATGGGCCTCTTGTTTTTTGTGAGTTTTATTGGAGATGTTTAATCTACATGTTGATAGAAGTATCTGGAATGACCACATCATTTAGCAGTCACAGACAATTTACAGTCGAGTACAGCATTTGAGCTTCATTTCGAGTTTTCTCAACCAACCGATTTCCTTTTTTTCTGCCAAAACATCGTGTACTTTATCATTGATACGGTGTCTGGCCTTAATCAAAGAACTGTTATGACATCGCTTCTTGTTGTGTTTCAACTGTGATGTTATCTCCCCTTGCTCTCAGCAGTGCAATCACACCACAGGATGGTGCTGATAGTTATCATAGCTGATATAGAAATATCAGCTCTCTATCTTCTACACAACACTACAATGATACCAAAACACACTCGAAAATGTAAAATGTAGGTGTATCGTCTTGTCTTAGCAATGGTATAAAACAGAAGTCGGGTATCCAGATTCGACAAAAAAACAGCATTTGAAGTAAAAAAGAAAGAAGAATTTTTTCGCAATAAAAAATACCTCTTAAGTTATGAAAATATTCTACGAATTGTTGAAATATACACACCAACATTAATTATGTCTTCTAGACTTTAAAAGAGCTTCAGATATGAATATGTGGGTAGTTTAAAAAAAACAAATTTTACTATATGTCTTTGTCTCTCTCTCACTTATGTATACACATCTCTGATACGTGTTGGAACAACAGCCGCTTTGTGAGCCCCGCATATAGTAATACTATGAAACTCATGTACTGAACATATTTTCTCTGCATGTAAAAACTTGAAACTATAAAAAAAATCACATTAAACAACCTTTATATATAATGATGACAGTTTAAGACGCCATCACTCTTCTTATCTTCTAATATTGCACCTTATAAACCATTTCTAAGGATTCACTATTTGGTCTGTACTTTTAAAAATAACCTCTCACTGTGGGCAATAAAAATGCCACATTTTAGTCAGCTCAGTTTATCACATTACGCGTACACGTTTTTTATCAACTGAGGATTTTATTGAATTTCCATACCACAAATCGTATTTGATAAATATTTACCACAAATGATAAATTAAAAACTTTAGCAGTAGATACACATTTCTGTATCTGTTTCGAAAGCGATTTTGTCAAAATATTGATATATCGCAGATTATGTAAACTAGTATCAATACTTTGTAGTTACTACACAGTTTCTGACTTGAAACGTCACTTTTCTTCATCAATGCTGGCGGTTTTTATTTATCTATTTATCTTTTTTCGGGCTATGCTAAAGACATCAAATAATGGATAATAAAAAGATTTACATTTTTATTTATTCATTTATTTACTGTATTTTAGCGGAATGAAAATACGGACCCATACATCAAACCAATTTCAGCTGAAACTGTCGTAAACACAGGAGCAAGCGTATGGGAAACTGTGTGACACAGTAACATATCCTATAATTCTAAATACTTGTTTGCAATCATTAAATACAACGAGTAAAGTATATATTCGAAAGTTTAGAATGTTCCTACTCTCGTATGGCAGATACTTTGACACTTTTAAGATATAAATGACAAGAAAAACATTTTTGGAAGCATTGAAATGCAACTTTTATGTTTACCGGGAATTGTCGAAACATCAGTGCTCATTCTCTCTACAATACCTCTCTTCAATAGCCTTCGAGTAGTCACTTTATATAACTACCGAATATTAAGCCTATGAAATCCCCCTGGTCATTAACAAGACTTTGAAGTTATAGATGTGGAAATTATTACAATGGTGTGAAAGATAGAACGTTTGGTGTAATGAGTACAACATTGTGTATCTTCTCTTGTGAAGCTCAACCAGCACGCGCCTTTCTAGCAATAAACAACATGAAGGTGTGTACCGTGTCCCTTTCAATTCATTCTACCCCGTTAATATACACCCAGTAGGTCTATCCAGAAAGCAATATCAAAGGACATGCGTAAAAACCGGAAGTGAGTTTAAGACATTTGCAATATTTTACGATCTTAGCTGGAGTCGATTTCGGCTAAATAGTAAAAAAAAAGAAATTTTGATTTTTGTTCTTGGTACATATACATTGCTTCAACGAAGAACGCATTTATGTAATGAAACTTACATCTGCTTGGTAACAGTTGACAGGGAAAGTCACGCAGAAAGT